CACTAGAATAACGGTAGTGTACGGCGCAGTCTCAACCCTCTCAGGTCATCCCGTGACCATTACGGGAAGAAGACTGTTTTACTCACAGGGGTCGGAACTGGATGAAAGCCCTCCTCCGACTCCCGACTAGACGACGGTGTCACGGCTCCGAGAGGGAAAAAGAGCTCTCTCTCTCTCCCGTTCCGCCACCTCCTTCTGCGGCATGATGGACTCGCAGAAGTCGAGCATAGTACCCACGACGGTCGGCAGCGACAGGTCAGGTCCCATCTTTGCGATGAGCACACGGTGAGCGTCGCTACCTATTTATTCATCATGAGATAGGCAGCAAGCTTATACATTTTCTACGACTTTAAAAGTAAAACGCTAAGGAGCTAGCGACAAATAGACAAAATATATAATTATCTATTTTTACTTTATCTAATCCGATACTGTATCTCAAAACTCTAAAAATGTAATAATAGTGGTAACCTCATCTTCGATTGACTATGAATAGTATTAAATTTAAAATTGAAATTGTTGCTTTCTCCATTAATGATCTACTCGCAAAATATTTATCTAGCTACCTACTCGAAGCGGGTAACTTCAATATCGCAGAACGTTATTGGTATTTACTTTCAAACTCCAATATTAACATCACCAGAGGAAACGATGCACGGTGTTGTAGTACATGAGGAATATGATCACAACATCACATTCTATAACATACGGTTATTGGAAAAATCGTGAAGTTTAAAATTGAATTTACCTGTTTGATATCACATAAAAGAAAATAGATATGCTATCGATTTTCATCTAGGTCAATCTGAAAGTTTGTTTTAATATAGAGGCATGAATTCTAATGTTAAATAAACATAAAACAAACTATTAATAATATTATAAGACAGTTAAAATCTTTAACGTTCAAATCTATATCATTTTATTTTTTAGATTTTTTGCTGTTTAGTCGGATTAGCTTCTGATTCGTTTGATGGTAAGTGGTTACCGGAGTCTATAGTAACACAACACGAATGCCGTCATCAACCTTAGGACTTGAGATCTATCATCTCAATTGTATAACAAGTACCTAACAATTTTTGCGGGTTTGATTTTTAGTAGAGTAAAAGCTCTTTATTCGCGGGGTATATGTGATAGGGTGAACCAGCGGCTATAGCAATAAATTAAAAACGTAAATATTATTTGAAAACATTGTGTTTACTTATATATGATAAAATGATTTTACATAATGACACTGCACATCAAAAGTAAAAGAACATAATACAAATTCAAACGCAGTGCATCATAGACAAGTATACGTGGACAGCATCACGACCTTCCAACAATAGGTATGTTCCATAAATATGCCGCGAATAGAGAAACCGTGAATACGGGATGGTAATTTATTTATGATATATATATTGGGGATATATAGGATATATATACATAGGATTATAGGGGATACGTTCCTAGGTGACAAATAATAAAAAACAAATATATAAAGAATTAATTCAATTGAAGTTTTTGAACAGTTTTGCAAATTCTTCTGGATATCGTTCTGTTGCAGCAGTGTCTGCACATGCTGCTTCTCCAACGATTTTAATGATATGCAATGATTGTCTCACTTTAAATTTATTGACCAACCTTCCGATGCCTAAAATCCTTCATCTGTACATTCACCACTACCAGTACCATCAGGTTAATTAAAGTGAGCGTAAAAACCCTTTGCCCTCTCCCAGACCATTGGACCATTCAGGGGCACCCTTTTTTAGTTGCATTTTTCGATCCATAATGACAACACCACTTCCATTTTTGCTATTTAGCTGACAGTGAAGTTGACGCTACAGACGATTGTACACGTTGCCATTCCTTCATCACAGAAGTATTTTGTCAGCACGTGTCAAGTACGAATAAAAATTCGCAGCTACCTGTGCGATATTAACATCGTCATAGCTCTATCGCTCTAAAAATTTAATATCTTCCGTGACATGTCTTTATACGTAACGTATTGGAAACATTTTTATTATCATATTGCTAAACTCAAATCGACATGGTATTCGAGTGATAGCAAGTATGTATAAAAGAAAGTATAAATGATCGGTGGGCGCTTCCAGGTAAAGGACTTACCCAGTTTGGTCATTGTGGTAGGACCAAAACAATATTCAATTAATTAAGAATAAAAGTCATGGAATAAAGATGGCTTTTAGTGAATTCAATACGAGGTTATAAAATAAAATATAACAGATGTAGAATTAAAAAAAAAAAAATTTTTCATAATACATAAAGTCTATTTCTCTGTGAAGATATTAATTGACATTTGCTTTTATGCTAGCGAGGTTAAATACAAGACGTTTTTACACTGTCTCGTTTATGTAAGCTTCGTTTTTTTGTTACGACTCTTTTTTGAATTTCAATTTCAATATGTTGGCAAAGCGTTACTATACCTCTGTAAAGGCTTAGTGCCTACCTACGGGTATGTTAGAATGCAATCTTGACAGTATAATTTCAGACATTATACCGTTCCCTGAATTTCGATTGTTAGATGATTCATCCAACAAACAGTTCTAGAGCTAGGTTCAGAGTTATAGAGTTTCAAAGAACATTATTCCCCCGAATAAGGACTAACATTCTATTAACTTGAACACTACACTTAAAATAACTAAATTTCGTTTAGGTATATTTTTTGACACTACAATATTTAACAATTAAGAACGAGTTCTTTATTGAAAATAAAAGAAAGTTTTGTTGCCAAATTATTTATTACAATAAGTATATTTTAAAAACGAAATAATACGTTCTTAATTGGAAAATTATCTTAATATAAAAATTACATTTCCTGATAATCTTGGTCAGGATATTAAATAAGAGTAATAAAAATATTTTAAAGTCATCGGAGCTCGACACGTTTGAAAATATTCAAATTAATAGGACGCCGTGAAGTTACTGAAAATTATGTTAAAAGATTTCGTGAGAAAACATAGTGAAGTTACTTAGATTACAATAATAATTAGCATTATTTTATTGGAATGGATGATAAGGTTAACGACCTTTTGTTAAGCGCTTATTGAAAGTTATTTTATACGAATATCATCATATAACACTGATCGCAATTACAATTCCATCGAAAACTGATCAAAGACTGATCTATATACGGTTGGAATATGGATTGTAGAGGGCATACACGAAGGGAAATGCTCAATATAACATAAACTATTTGGGATCACAGTACTAGTCACGAGGCAACACAATTTCATGTATTTAAAACACCACTTAAATATAACACGGAGAACTATCTCTTTGGGGAAATTTTCAATGGGCCTAATTTTAATTCGGTACAACGTAAACACTTATCTTCAAAAATGTGCAAAATAAAAATTGAATCGAGAAGCGTGGAATACTTTATTTTTATTAAATTTATTTCTTTTTTTTTAAATATTAAATAATAAATAATAAATATTTAACGTCAATAATTTAATAATACTTAGTATGAATTATATTAAATAATAATTTTGTCATTTATATTACTAAATAATACATACGGATAGTTAACCTCAATTGTATTGGAGCACTTAGGAATGTTGATGTGCACAGTTTTTTACAAATATTTTCTAATATTAATTAGAATTGATTTAAATATTCAAATTAAATCACTTCTGATTATAATTCAGACGCACATATAAAATTCGCACTTGTATAATGAAAACAAAATGAAAACACGTGTTTTAAATGTAGAAACTCAAAGCATGTGGATAAATATTATAAATATAAATACACCGTGAACAGAGACGGCGTGCGTGCCAACATGCGCCACTAACAGAGGTTCCATTTCTGTTTTGTTGGTAGCATTTTTTACGAGTGTAGGTACATGCGCGAAAGTTCAGCTGCGGCTATATTCAGACTCGCCAAGTTACGTCGGTCGTATTGTAATGAGCGATTTAGTGGGCAACTTCATTTCTGTTAATTTAGTGTCACGGTGCGCGCGCATAGTAAAATTTCACTCTCATCAATATTTCATAACGCGCCTAAAGAAGTATAACTTCAAAAAATTGCCTAAAATTCTTTACATCGCGTGCGCTACTTCCCAAGCGAAGCCGGGCGGGCCGCTAGTCCTTTATAAACTGTATCGGCTTTTTCTAGAAAACAGGTTTAATGACCGAAAGGCGACGACGGGGAGTGTTCAAACAAACCTACGGGCGTTTCGTCGAGTGAAACCAAAGTCTACAAAACGTCGCCGGTCGAACTACGGTGACGCCCTCTGGCTACAAATATATTAGAATCTGCAAAACCTCAAACAGCGTGAATTAATTTGCCGGATTAAATATGGTGGTTCGAAAGATTTAATTGTGGAAAGAAGGCTAACAAAAAAAAATACAAAACGAAACACACGACCTTTGTGCGGCAGATATAGGCAGAATGGTACATTGTGCATCTAACAGTGTGCCCTGTAAGTATGAATAAATTTAACGGATATTAGATTCGTGTATTACTTATAACTCAGAAGAAGCAGTACCCGCCAGAGATTATGATTAAACAACGGACGCTTCAAATTGAAGAAAACAGTAAATTTATAAAAAGCGGTAACAGAAATAGGTAATTTTTAGGTTTTTAATATTCTAAACCATCTCTCATACTCATGCTTGCTCTGTATGTTTTGTTTGTTTCTTTTAGGACCGCATGGACTTTAATGTTCATTAACTTAGGAAAACTTTTGCATATATAAATAAATAATTGAAGAAAAATCAAACATATTTTCTGTGAAGGAAATCTGAAAATGATAATTTTGCATTATTTTGATAATACAGAATAACTAGCAAAAGTTTGATATATTTTTTTATTTTTAAGGTAGTTGTTAGAAAATTTTAAATTTTAGTATAAATATTTATAATAATAAAATACGAATGCATAGAACGAAAAGCGGATGAAGTAAAAGAAGAAGAAAAAACGGAAAAAGTCCTTCCCTGTTTCAATAAGTAGGGTTGACATTAGACAGATCATATCGTAAAACGCCTGGCAAATCCCTGTACACCATGATAAAAGGACATTCTGAACCGACCCTAAATGAGCTCAGGTAAGGGTAAGAAAACTAAGGAAACCAGAAACTCAAATTCGTTTAAATATATTTAAGCACGTGGATGTGTTATGTGGTGGAACACTAAAATAGTAAAAACAAACTCATAATTTTCTTTAACATTCAGAAGGTTTTTATTTCACTAAATAAATTTAAAATCTAGTATTATGGTCATTGCGAATCAAGATAGTATGTAATTCAAATTTTTTATTCGTAGGGAATTAATGAATCTCGTCCTCATGTTTATACTGAACGAATTGTTAAAAGATCATTGACACCGTGAAATTGGATCCTTTAAAATAATCAAAGTTCAAACAAATTTGCGTCTAAAATATTATTTTTATGTCATTGCTGACCTAGATTATCAAAGCAGCATTTCTTTTAATTTATTCTTTTATGTGATTTTTCAAGTTTAAAACTCTTCTGTGTTAAACTTTATTAACTTAAATCATGGCCGAAACGGTTGACAAAAATTAAGATAATTCGACGTCAAGTCAACCTGTCGAATATCGCTGAAAAATGACATGAAATTTTTCGTGCAAAATTTAAATAAATTAAAACAAACAAAAAAATGATAGAAACATAAGCAAAACAATTTAAACACTTTCAACGTGTTTTTTGGGGACTCGTTTCAATTCTGCAAGATGACAAGGTATGCTCGTTATCATGATTGGCCCAGATTAGTCTAGTGCTGAGAAAGGTTCCGTACGCATAAGTATTAACCCACTGAGTTTTTGCCGGAAATTCTCAGTGAGTTGCGATTTCGATCCGGTAGTAAATTCAGCGAAGCAATGCTGTTGCTAGGGCCAGTGTTAGCAAATTCTCTCAGGTGCAGCCCGTGAGCTCACTTACCAGTCCGTGAGTAACTAGATTAGTCCCTTAGAATACCAGCGATTAGGTAAAAAAAGATATATTTCTCTTAAATAAAAAAAAAACGTTATAATTTCCAATATCGAGATTTTATTCTTAAATTTTAGAATACATGTTTATTACTTTATTGCTTTTTAATACGCTGCAGTCACCTTTATAGTTAACAACCTTCAAAGAATAAAACATAATAATTAATATCCGTCTTCTTCCTGTCCACATCTGTGAAGGAAGCTAGTTCTTATGACCCTGGACGGTTACCACTTTTTTTTCTGTTTATATCCCGAAATGCGTTCAGGTTGGAAGACATGAGACAAAAATCTAGAATTCGGTTTCATGTCTCTAATATGTTGTCTATTGGACCCAGTTATAATGGCCACTAAATACCAATTGCCAATCTACAACTACTGGAGAAAAATCTGATCTATTGAATGTGTGCATAGGCTATTCTTTTATGACTTGAAGAATATAGTAGAAGAATAATATAGATGGAATATATAATAATACTAGCCGTACTCGCCCGCTTCGCTGGGCATTTAAAATTAACATTATTATTTATTGTCATTATTATTAGGGAGTCCAACACTCATATAAATATTAGCCTATCCATTAAGTACATGTATTCTCATACATGGATACCAAGTTTCAAGTCATCGGATGCATGGTTCAGTAGTTATAGCGGAACATCCGTAAAAACCACTGTAGATTTATATATTAGTATAGATAATAATATAGAAGAACATAGTCTTTGAATTACGAATAAAAATTTAAAGATTAAATCATTAATAACGTTTCAAAAATAACATTCAGCTGCTGCACTTGCGAGGGCCACCATAGCGGTGCTAAGTCGAGTCTGCCGCTGGTCTGCCTGGTTCCTCGCGATGGAGCATCTTCGGAAGCCAGGACAAAGCCCCGGCCTGCATCAGCTGGGCCCACAACTCAAAATGATTTCCAGTTGCTCGACGAGGAGTACATCAGGAAAAACTTTAAGTTGCCACAGAGGGCGTTGTATTTGGACCCGTATAGGTGGATATTCAACCTCGAAATTAAAATAATTCATTACTAAAATGTGTCTATACTAAAATTTAATATACTAGATTTTTTTTTAAAGTATTATCAATTTATAATTTTATGCAGTTATTATTCCCATGTATAGCAAAAAACCCAGTACAGTACCTACCTTAAAACCAGTGGTTTAATTTAAAATTAATATTATCTTGTATGTGTAATGTTTGTATCATTTACAAAAAAAAAATACGTAAATGATATATTAATTAATGACTCATTGCAGACGCCCCCTTATAACCTTTCCGATGACACAAGAAGACTGTAAGCATTTCAACTTAGCCAGAAAGTATAAGATTAACCAACAAATATTGGACGGTTACTTGGATCCCGGAGAATCAATATCTGCGCCGAGCGTTTTCGTTAGTTGTTTTAAATTATTTGATCAAAGTATTTAACAAATTAGGTATTTTTTTTATTTTGCAAACCGGGCGTTGTGTGAAACACCAGATATATTGATGAACCGATTTGGGAGTGATGGATCAACACCCAACTCATTCCCGCCGTTCACTATTTAGTAGACAAGCTGATCTTTTTAGGCATATCCTAATTACTATATTAGTTACCTTTATTGCTTACTTTATTGGTATAGGGGATTGTTCAATGCCTACAACAGCTTCTCACACAACACGCAACCTAGACCATAATTGGTTACCTGTTCATTCACCCAATTAAAACTTTCCTCATTTTAGTGTCGAAATTTTTTAATCAATTCAAGTAATTTCCGCTTTTCAGCCATATATGAAAACGAAGGCAGAAAAGCAAAGCGAAGCTGATGATGATGAAGAAATAATATACATATTACAGCTTCCTGATTATGTATACAAATGTCCTTTGCATAGTCAAACCATCAGAACGCCACGGTACCTATATTTCTTTCAACATCTTGTATATCGCCAGGTTATTTTGTTACTAGCGCCATCTGTTTTCTTTTATTGTACATGGGTTAAAACCCATGCTTCGTGGCAAGTCCTAAACTCGGCGTAGTTTTTAATACTGGCAACAGATGTCACTACACAGCAAATAATTTCAAGTTTTTTTATGAAAAACTCAAAACATTTCTATTATAAACAGCTATTTATTATTGAAATTGTTATTTATGATAATTTAGTTTTTTATATTGTGATTGAAGGTTCATTTGGCATTCTTGTAAGAAATCAAAGAAGGAAAAAGGCGGCGAGTTGAAACGAGGTGGAGGACCGTTGAATAAACCAAAACCTTGGCTACTCAGCAGACATACAGACTTTGACTTGTTATCACAATGGTGATTTATGTTTTTATTTAAATATACAAAAAAAATTATAAGAATAATAGTTTACATAAACAACTAATACAACGAATTCCGCAATAAAAATATTACAGAAGTTTATTTTGTTTCATTACCTCTATCAGCTTTATTGGTTTGACAACCAAAAAAAATTATTTGTAGGTTTTGAATCATAAGTTTCTATAAACATGAGTATTTGAACGTTACTTTTCTTAGAATTTATACATGCGGAGTTTGCTGCAAAGCAATAAATTGTCTAGGGATAGATTCACGGTACTAGTGAGTCGATTACTGAAACTTAATTTTGTATTTCGATTTCTATTGCTTTCTGTTCTATTTATGCTTCCTATTCTATTTATCTATTTCACAGGGTAAGGAGCAGTATATTTGTCTCTGGCACGGCTAATATTAGTTTACTCTCGCTGATATTAATGGCTGACAGTAAGCAATATGTATATAAGTATTAAACGGTAGGCAGCGGCTTGGCTCTGCCCCTAGCATTGCTGACGTCCATGAGCGACGATAACCACTCACCGTCAAGCGGGCCGTATGCCTGCCTACAAGGCCAATAAAAAAAAAGTAACAAATATACGTCACAAACTAATGCGCTCATAAATAGTATAATATAATAGTCATTTTATATTATACTAGCTTACCCGGCAGACTTCGTAGTGCCTCAATCGATAAATAAAATACCTAAACTTTCGTATAAAATAAACTTAAAACAAACAAAAGGAATCCGTCCGACGGGGGACACATCAAAGGAAAAACAAAATTGTTATTTTTATTTAATTCCGAGCATTTTCATATTTATCTACCTTTTAAACCTTCTCTAGACCTCCACAAATAATTTATGACCAAAATTAGCCAAATCGGTCCAGCCGTTGTCATGTTTTAGCGAGATTAACGAACAGCAATTCATTTTTATATATATAGATAGAAGATAAATAGAAGATTATTTATGAGCTAATTAATTCGTTTAGGTGTATCAGGTAGGCACGTATGATTTGTTTTAGTAAAACAGTTTACAAACAAGTTTCGTTAAGACTTTCGATAAGCTATTTATTTAATAAATTTTTAGGAAGTAATATTGTGAATTTCACACAATGCACATAATATTTATCCTTAGAGTAAACATTAAAGCAAAAACCTACCAATATATTATTGTTTATAGTTAGTAATTACCCCCTAATTAATTTATTCGCTAAATTTACCAACGAACTTTAAATAATAAGGTCGTATACATTAACCTCTTTCATGTATTGCATGAATAATATTTGACGTCTATCATATTATTATGAACAACGTTTGGAAATAAATAAAATAATAAAATTTTCTGTTTGTGCAGATTCATTGAACGTAACATAAAAATGACTGATAAAAATCTTATTGCAAAACTTGCTAATGTGTGAGTATGTCGTTTGAGCGTTTAGGAAAAAAAACAACTTCTCCAAATTATATAATTTAATTTCTTAGGCCTTTGGAGAAGCCCGGCTTCGACGCTCTCAATATGACCGCTCCGTTTATGGTACAAATGAACCCGGATGGTAAATGGAATAGTTGTAAACCAGAAAACTTAGACGAAGAACGCTTAAAAGCAGTCGTACAATATTTAGTAAAATCGAAAGCAGTAGCTGCAGCTCATAGTTATTGTACACAATACACTTCCGGGAATCAGGTACGTATAGATACTATAGGAATTTTACATACTCCACAAAGCTTCATTTGGCTTAAAAATAAATCAAAGTATTATTCTGTTATTATCAACTGGCCAGGATTCGAGATGTATTTGTAATATTCATAATAGGTTTTAAGGGTTTTTTTTATTTTTACCAAGATTATTGCCTTCGTCAATTCGCACATTCTTTACCACTTATAGTTGTAGATGTAAGTACATTTTCCCTTACTGGTGTTCGTGATAGCTCTATTCACACCATGGCGCTAAGTAGCACAAAAGAAGAACTCGGATCTACATTACTAGCAGCAGCTACCAGAGCCCCTAGTTGCTGACGTGCACATGCCAGCGATCCGTGATGCGTTGCTGATTGATTGTTCAACAGACCCACTGAGTTTCTCGCCGGATTTTCTCAGTGGGTCGCGTTTCCGACCCGGTGGTACATTCAGCGAACCACTGCGTGTGCCAGGGTAGAAGTTAGCACAGTCTCTCAGGTTAAGTCGCGTGAGCTCACCTATCCGTCCGCGCGTGGTTGGAATAGCCTCTTAGCCCCCCCACACACGTGGTCTCGCCTTGTCACGGCGGTGGAGCTTAAGCGTGCACCCCGACACTATGGAGCAGCGTTGTCTGCACAGGGGTACCGCGAACTAAGTAGACTGCACTCTGTGTTCCATTTTCCCACCTTTACTGGACAAAGGATGCGTGAAGGGGGAGAGGGCCTCCTTTTGGAGCCCTCTTGGATGCTAGGCCATGTCCCCGGCGGTTCTGACTGCTAAAGGGGAAGGCCCTCCAGAGGTCAGTGCGGGTACGCCGGCGTGGCCACAACGTGGTCAGACGTGTTTGTCTGTCAGTAATGGTAGACCCCACGTGTATGAGAAGTGAACCGGAGGGCACTCCCTACCGGCCGCTGGTTGCCATGTCCCCGGTTGCCTCTTGGCGGCTACAGGGGAAGGCTCTCCATAGGGGGGTACCGGTTTACCGGCGTGGCTTCGTAGAAGCATACCGTAATCCCTACAGAGTAGGGGACGAGGGCCGCTGATTAACAGGGGCCGCCGTGATAGGAACCTCTTTAAAAAATGCCCTAATCCTAAGCTTGTGACGTGCCCGGTGATGGGATGAGTGGCTGGAGGGAGTCCAGTCGTGAGGACCGTCCCAGGGGACCGACCCCTGGTTAAATGACAAAGGAACAAAACAAATGATGGCACACTTAACCAAAAAAAATTACGTTATTTCAGTTAAATTTTTTATTAAACGGTGCAATTTGCTCTTCATTCCGTCACAATTTTCGCTGATAAAGTCGTTAAAAAGGTCTTTGTCAGTGACTTTCTTTGTAACCATAGTTCTCCGTTGCTCCATACGATACCTACTTATGTTATCTTTTCTTGTGTAAAGACTTTTAAAAGGATCTTCGATTAAAAGAAAATTCAATGACCTAGATTTATTGGCTTGCGGCTATGCAGATATTGATATTGACGAAAGTATCCTCCAGTAATCTATCAGTTTACCACCGATCGGAAGATTTTCAATATATTTCATATTGCCATTAGAGTATTGTGGAATCAACATTGGTAAAAGCAATATATTTTTCTTGCATCGTTGTCTTGTAACCATTTAAGAAGAGTTTAATGGATTCACATTTTTATCTTTCTAGTACCCCTAGATCATCAATGAAATAGCATTTTGGTTTACGATTGGAATCAATTTTTTTTGCCTCTATGTTGATACGTCTTGCTCTTCCAAGACATAAAGAGATGGCGCTATACGATGTTGTTAGCATGACAATAGTCCATCGAAAGCGGCTCTGTCGATTTGGAGTAATATTTTACGGTCCGAATTTTATTACCTAACTTACTTTTATCTAAATATGCAACTTAAAAGTAAGTTAAATAGGTAACGTTATTTTGTAAAGCCATTTCGTAAAATTCAAAGATAATTAAATAATAAAGTAACGTTCAACAATAATAAGTGCATTAGATATTTACAAGATGGCGTTGTTAAAGTTTTGCATAAGATGGGTTTTTTTTCAGGGATGTGGCCAATATAAATTAAATGAAAGCCCAACCTATCTTATACAAAAACTTGATCCACAACGTTATAGCTGTATCTGGGATACATGAATATATTTTTACATTTTTTGGAACGAAGTTCCTTACGGCAGGCTTGGAGAGGATAGGGATTTTGCTGCGCGACCGAACTGAAAAAAATGTGATAGTAAAACCGTAAGAAAAAATCCGTGGAAAAAAGTGCGTGGAAAAAATCCGTGGAAAAAAGTGCGTGGAATAAAACCGTTAAATGAGACGTGCGCAGGCGCGACAGTCGTATACACAAGCGAGTAGTGTATAATACCTTTCTCTTTCTCCCTCTTTCTTTTCGTTCTCTTATCCCTTCTCTCTCTATTTTGTAATTATTTCTATTTCTATGTAATTTTATGTTGTCAAACAAAAATAAAGAGACATATTTTGTTATTTTAATTGATAATTTGAATTACGATTTTATTTTTATTTTACGTAATTTATTATTTCCTAAAATACTGAATTTCCTAAATACTTTCCTGTACTTAAATAAAAACTAATCAGCAAAATTTANAAAATAAAGAGACATATTTTGTTATTTTAATTGATAATTTGAATTACGATTTTATTTTTATTTTACGTAATTTATTATTTCCTAAAATACTGAATTTCCTAAATACTTTCCTGTACTTAAATAAAAACTAATCAGCAAAATTTAAGAGAAAAATCAAGAAAACCAACATAAAATTGAGCACGATTTTTTTTGCAAATTGTGTGATTCTACATTAGCCGAAGGAACTTCGTTCCTACCTGGTGTCCCACGACACCACATTTTAATTCTTTTTCATTTAATCTTTTCCCGACCTGGCAGACGAATATACGTCCCATCTGATGGCAAGTAGTTACCTTCGCTCATGGACGTCAGCAATGCCAGGGGCAGAGCCAAGCCGCTGCCTACCGCCTAATACCTACTCTCTACAAGCCTCGTTTGAAGAAGGACATTTAAATATTTTAGAATTGCTTTATTATGACATTGGATCGATAAATGTCCTTGTTTAAAGGTTGTGAAAAAAGTGAAACATTACTTTTTCGAACTGTTTTCAATGTAATTTGTTACTTGTATTAAAAATACACTATTAGTTAATGATATTACTTATATTAATATATTATATTTAATGATACAATTCCAGAAAAATGATTCGAAATCGAATTACGTACCAGTCATCATGATGCCAATATACCCAGCAGACCAATGTCCATTTGATATGGATTGTGAAATAAAAAAAATGAAAGACTCTGAAATTAAGACTGTTAAAAAGACAAAAAAATTAAAAGAGGTCAAGGATTCAGAAAAAAGCAATGAAAGTAAGAAGACGAAAAAACATGGTTTTGTATTGCAAAGGCTTACGGATTTCGATTTACTGTCACAGTGGTGAAAAGAGATAAATCAATTTTTTCCACTGACTGAGTTTTTTTTGCAGTGTTCCTTGTTGTTTCTAGTATTTAAAAATCTTAATTTTATTACACGTTTATTGTTCGGGGGTTTTTTTAATTATACCACGAACTTAGTGGTTCATATATTATTCCTCTACCTAACATAATAAAGCTAAAAGGAAATATTTCTGTAAGGTATGATTTAAATTATTACAGATTTTTATAAAGATAGTTACTAGTAAACTCAGGAAACAATAACAATATTCTCTGGTTGGCTTTGCCCTAATTAGTGCTTAGTGTTACCATAGACAATGTGAGCCAATGACTATACCAGCTGTTCTTAGGCTGAATATTACCAGTACCTTTGCTATACCCTTCCCATTCTCGTTAAAAAAGTTGTCGTACTCGATGGTCACCACGGTGTTTGAAGTCGATGGAATAAATGCACATTGCTATTTTTTATTCGATTACAATTAAAATAATGTACAAAAATATGACTAACCAATGATATTATCACAAAAATAACTGCAAAATAAAAGCCAGGTGAGTGGTTTTAGTGTGCATATGCGTAATAGGGTACGTCAAAGCAATTAGCCCTCTCCTAGATCTCGTACGACTTTTATGTTTTCACGTCTATCCCAGACGGAGTTGATTTTTCCAGGATGCGTCTCTGTGCATTCTTCTATCACTTGTACATATAGGTGAACAGTTGAGAGCCTGGTCCATAGTTAACATTATGCAAAGGTCAGATAATTTCGCCATAAATGTATGAATTCTCCCGTTAATTTTTTTTCATTAGGCGATCGTGCATGTGTATTCTTGTGCTGTGACAAAAAAGTTTGTTTCGGTGGCGAGTTTCGCCGTAAATTTTTTTGAATTAGGAAGAGGAGGCATACTTCGTAGCTACGCACTTCCTGCATGGACGATTGTTTAATCACGTATGCGCGGTGTTACAGTCTACACCTAGGATTTGCGTTGTTTCTTTTGTCGCTAGTCTTCGGGAGTGTAGTGGAGAAGCTGCCCAGGCTGTAGTCCAGAATCCTGGGAGCAATTGTAAACATGTTGCAGCCTTGATTATGACATTGGTATCAACTAGTGTGCAATAAACACTTGTTCAACACAATGGCCTTGTAAGTGTTCTCACTGTTCCTTATCTAATTGTCTAGGCTTATTCTGTTATGTTGGTCTGTAAATATTTAATTTATTGTTTTATAGATAACTAATAGTCTTTTCTATTCTTAATCATTCATTTTCACATGATACATGGAGGCTCCCTTTGGATAGTTATGGCTTCATTTAAGGTTATATGTTTCCATTGCTTTTATTGGTTGTGTTGGTTGTTGCATTTAGATAGCTCTGCTCTGCCAACAAATTTTCATAAATAATATATTTCAACAGTCAATTTGTAATATTATAGAAAAACATTAAACATAAAATAAACAATCATTTTATCATCTTAATGACCATACCTACATCGTAAACAATTATCGTTAATGGGCAACTAAACAACAACAACACAATCTTATTAAGAAATTTCTGCTATCAGTTTTGCTTGCTATAGCGAATGTTTTAAGGAATAAAACTGTTATTTAGTTTTACCTAAGCTTCTACAACTATGTCAGCTGAAGAATGAAAAGCATAAAAAACACAAAAATACAAGTTGGCTTTGAGTATAAACATGAATCTCATGAATTGGTTAAAGTTATAAAATCTGCTGTTTATCAATAATATAAAAATCAATTGCCACCTGTGCGACCAAGTATCACTCTAAAACTGTTTCATCAAATCGGCTGATTTACTTTTTGTTTTGTTTGTAAGAGTAAGGTTTCTATGATAACTGTAATAAAGTTGAAATCTTACAATCTAGTGACAATTAAAATTTTGTATTGGTTGTTCCAAAGTTTTATTAGACATTAAATAAAGAATTGCAAATTAGAAAGAGACAAAAAAATCAAAATTTTAATGTGCCTATATTATGGGAATGAGTATGGGAACATTGTTAGATAACACAAGTATTTTGATCATCGAGTATTTCTTGTTTGCAGCATAAGATGGCCATGATCACCATGCTTTTACCATTATATGTTTTTTAATACATAATAATATGGTTGGTGGCTTTGAGCCAATCGGCCTACATACATGAATTAAAATATTTATTAACTATAGTCATTATTGTTAGGTCTTCGGTTATTTATGATCTTTATTTTAATGTGTTAAATATACTGAGAAATATTTTCTCTCTATCTCTTCTCTCTAATCTATTTTATTTTGTGAGTGTATTAAAATGTGCTCAATGTTAATTGCATGTATTTGATATTATTACAAATATTTATGACATTATATGTGAGTTGATTACATTTAGATCATAAATTATTGATAAAAAAGGAATGTAATTAAGCACAAAGGTTATTTAAAATCGAAACTTGAGTTAACATAATAAAAAACACAGGAATTAAGAAAGTCACAAGACCAATTTTAACACTCCCAAATCTTTCCAAACTTTAAAGCGTATAAAAGATATATGCATATCAAGAATCTAATTCAAATGTTGTTAATGTTAATAAAATCCAAATTTATCATTTTACTTTATTCAAGCCATAGATACAAATGGTGGTAATATCTTAAAGTACCATTTTAACTGTACAATTAAAAAAAATGAAAGCTATAACTGACCAATCTTCAATAAAAACATTTTTTTTTTATATTTCTGCATATAATATTAAACTAAAATAAAATTAAAAGGTAAAGATAGCTGAGATGTCACATGGCTCAAGTATGCAAAAAAATAACATGTTCTTGCAATCAAGAAGAATTATATAAAACGAGAATACTGCAATATATTCTTAGGCAAATCAAGTACTGCAAAGATGTACATTAAAGCTTGCATCAGGTACCATGTCGTGGGGAACGTACCTAGGCTGCATCAGTGCAACATTTTGACTCTAAGATAGAGACGATGTTCCATTATCATATATTTTTATAGCACACAAATATTATAAACAAAAAAATACAAAGGGTAAAATTGGGTCAGCCACATCACGGCATGCCGATTCAAAAGACGCGCGCGTATTCTACCCTTGAGACCTATATTTATTGTGGCCTTTGGTTCGTACTAGTTGTTAGCTGAAGTCGCAACACGTATAAGTACTATAGATGCATCTAGCTTGCATCTAGATTCGACCCCTCGCTCCAATCGATACAGCCTACCGCGCGCATTTGCCGGGGTTTACAGTGCAACAGGCTAGTAGTTCATAGCTTCACGGCGCCCCGTTCATTATACAGATTAAGTTACGTTAGCAAATTTCATTAGTAAAAGAGCGAACGTTACTTGGTTAACACATTTTGAAGTCAAAACCGCGAGGCGCCAATTTCGCTGATTGCCGGTTATATTTGTACTAATTTCATCATCATTTTAATCAATAATGCTGTTTTTCAATATCAACCGTAAATACAATTTACAGAGAGTGAAAATGCACCAACCAACTCCTCATCACATGTATGTAACTTAATAACAATTCATTAATTAATGTTACTTTTTATATTACTAGTGATTGCTTTCTGATATATATTTTTTCTTTCGAAAATCCTTGTTTTCCGTGATAATATTATTTGTGGTATGCCCATTTCATAATGTGCCATGAAAAAATATTTTATAGGGACGGATTGCATTGCATGCCTGATATGACCCTTTTATTACAAGTCATTGTATGATTTCCATATTTAGAAGTTTTTACAAATAAAATCTTGTTAAGACTAGGTGACTTGTTAGGTAGGTTCCTAAAAAACTAAAAAATAATCTGACATGCACTTTAAACTAATTACAAGATTTCTAAATAAAAGCGATATAAAAAGAACCCTAAAATTGCCTGACTTTGCTATATGTTGAAATTTATTACAGGCTGAAATAACATATTGTACTCATTGCAGAGCAGATATTTTTTTTTTGTGATCAGTTTTGCCAGTAATGTAGTAATTCTTTAAAAACTGTAAAATATTGAGTATATTTAAAAAAAAAGAGATCTAACTCAGCGAACAGGTAACAATTGATTTATTTTACAATTGTTCAGCATCTACAACAGTGCTGAAACTAGAATATTATATTCTATATTCTAGAAATCAGGAAAATAAGTTCTCCTCAATGTAAGATTAGTGCTGTTCAACGAGCTCTACTTTTTTCTATAAAAGTCTCATTGATTGATATTCTTTTCTCTTTCTTCATTGATGTGTCGGTCATTGAAATGTAGGAATATATTTCAATTTATGGAGAAATTATATGTAAGCAAGACATGTTTACGTCCTTACAACTAAATACGAAATGTATTTGTTATCTAATTACCCATAAAGTCGAGATCATTATTTATAATTCACCCTCCTTGGAGTGATATCTCAATCTGTTCAAGGACACCAACACAGGAAAGGACTACCAATTTCCCTAAACACAAAATATTTATTTCTATATACACAAATTTAATCAGCCTATTGGTAGAAATCATATTTGCATTTGAAACGGAGTAACAGTAAACAATAATGTTTATTAGCTTTTTAGTATTTGCAAAAGACATTCTAAGATTAATCTTGTAATGTTGTGAAACATTAAATATGTACATACATTATTTTCGATGTTACTAGATTTCTTTTTTGAATAGAACATAATTATATAGTTGATTTGTATTTATTCGTAGTTAACAGAACACTAAAACTAATTTTCATAGCTTTTTAGCTAGTGCACTATATTGGTCGGATCACAATCCATTTTTGTTTTCTTTAATTAATTATTTCTTTGGTTGCAAATAGAAATATTCCTCTTTATGATTTGTTATCATTTATATATAAATACAGTTGCTGTTTAATCATATAAAAAAAATTTACAGACAATATAACATGAGTTTAATGTATTATTTTACTGTGTACAGGAGACCAGCTAATGCACCAGTAAATTCTTCAGCTTATAGAAGAGTAAGTGAAAATATATATTATTTTTGATTACCCAGTAATATGCAAAATGCCATTGTCAAATAAAACGTAAAATTTTGTTCCATAGTACACGCCCTCTATGATGGAATCATCATGTTCCCACACTTCCTGTAATATATACGACGGAGCTAATAGAGTCTTCGAAATAAATGAACGTAAGACTGATGGCGCTGCCAGCGTTGTTGACAAAGGCGGTCACTCGCGGAGCACTGGGCGACAACAGATAGATGACATCGAAAGAGAAGACTTCGACGAGGAGAATAGGATCATAAATCAGTGCTCTAGCATGATAGTGGACGGAAAGCTGGCGGCTGCCTCCCACTACTCTGGAAACTTATCGAGTGCCAACTCGAGTTTAGCGTCCAGTTCCGAGACAATATCGACTTTATCAAACATTATCACTAACTACAGTCTTCCAGGATGTAGCAAAGACTGCGAAGATAGTAATACTACCATAAAGAATATGATAAGTAGGAAATGTGACGATCCACAGACTGACGAGAACAATCCCGATTTTATGCAGAAATTGTTGATCAGTGGAGTGCAAGATAATGTGGATTTTCCTAAAGGGAAGATGTATAAAGTAGATCAGGAGGGTTACTGTGAAAACGACGGTGAAGGCTGTGATATAGAGAGGGTGGGAGGTCCAGCGGGAAGGACTAGTTCAAACGCTTCGAGTATTGGCAGTGCCAGTTCGGATAGCACGAAGGATTTTAACGTACCGTCTACCTCAAATGCTGAAAGACTGCTCGGAATCGAGGATAGGAGCCTGGAGGACAGAAGAAATGACCCGATACACTCTAAAGCATCGGTAAGCTATATAAATATTAAGGGTTAAAATATGAAATTGCCGATTTGTACTGAAAAATTTAAATTCGTTTTTTTTTTCATTGAACGTATTTATTTTATCAAAATATCTACCATTATTATCTATACATTGTTATTCACTTGTGTGGGCGGTCTTCCATGTGGTTCGTTCTTCAAATCATAATTTCCATCACGAAAGCGTTTAAACCAAAATTGCACGGTGCGTTCATTAGCATTAGCAGTCAGTCCCCTCTCCAAACGCAACAATGACATTGCGAGCTATTTCTGCAGCGTTAGTTCCACGTCGGAGCTCGTATTCAAAAATCACTCGAATTTTCGAAGTATCTATCTTTCTCGTCTAAGCTGAATAAAAATAAAAAAAAAATAAAAGTCGATAGTCAAATTTTGCACATTTTGTAAAAGAAGAATCTCATAGGTACCATTTGAAAAAAGCTTCACTCAAAAATCTCAAACCATGAAGGTTCTATGTTAATTCGTAGTACCTATTACAATAGAACGGCAATTTCATACTTTAACCCCTATTACCCATACAAACTGAACGTAAATCTATAAGCAAATTGAATCTAAATAACCATTTTCTTTCTTTCATATGCTATGTGTACTTTTTGGGGCAAATTAGTCATAATAGTCAAAATGTCGAAATGCCCCAAAAAGTGTTTTGACAACGAATCATGTTTTTTGATTACGATTCGAATTATGTGGTTTGCTTAAAAATAAAATTATGCTGACTTTTCTTCCAAGTGTTCCAATTATAATTAAATATTGCAGTCATCACAGAAGTGCATTAACGCAACTAAAATATGTGAACTTTATTTACATAGTTGATCAATCGCTTGTATGATATATGACTTAAATAATATATGTGCTAGTGATAATAGCAGACAGATTCAGTATAATCGGAGAAAATGTCCTTGCAATTTGTATTAATAAAATAAAGTACATTTTGTGTAGACTAAATGAAAATAATAAACGCTAGGTTTCGTATTTTATTAAAATTAGTAGACATGCTCTCGTATTATTAACTATACTTGAGACCTTACAACTATACTTGAGACCTATACTACCTTACTACTACTTACCTATGAGTAACTATACTTGAGACCTTAGAACTTATATCTCAAGGTGGGTGGCGCATTTATGTCGTAGATGTCTATGGGCTCCAGTAACTACTTAACACCAGGTGGGCTGTGAGTTCGTTCACCATCTAGCAATAAAAAAAAGATTCCTAAAATAAAATTTAAATCAGTGTTTGCGTGTGGAAATGCACATAGATTAAATTATGATTATGAATGCTTCATAACGCATGGATGCCGCACGCATTTACATAGTCTCATTTTACTCTGCCCCGATGCTGTTGCTTTTATCGCCTATTCAAATTACTTAATATTCACCGGGTCCATAATTTACAAATCGACTTTTCGCATTAAAAGTGCACATTTTCCAAAAATATTCGAAATTGAGTTAACATGCGGAATCATTTGGTATCACAGTATAATCAGTATTTTTCTCATAAATACTGTCAAAAGAGTGTACTTTGGTTTTTTTTTTTTAGTTTACCTATGTTTTGACGACTATTAACAAAATTAATACATAATGTTATCTTACTTTAAAATACAGACAATGTAACTGGTAAAAAAAAAAGTTGCAAAGATGATTAATATTAAAAATATCACATGTTCAACCTTTAAAATACTCTCCTGTAAAATTAGTAAGTTTTGAGATTATACAGTGTTTTAATGAGGGAAGACGAAATAATGTTTTTAATATAAAAATAAAGTTAATCACATCTAATGCGATCGGCGTCTGTAAATATTTTATAGGTAAACAAACAACAGCGGTTGTCCGTGAGGTGTACGTAAACGTTGCTAGTACAATCAATTCGACAGGAAAATCCCGTATGTAATAATAATGGTTGAAATAATAAGTAACAGCAAATAATTGGCGAGTCGACGGGAAGCCAAATAAAATCTGAGTTTCGAAAAGTGGGTCAGGTAAAAGGGAAACAAACAATTTAGCTTAAATGTTTTCACCGGTACAACACTATTGTTTAAACCCTTCTTTGGACTTTGAACATAATTATGAGGTGATTAAAAGCTTTTTAATGTGAAAAACTTTTCGTCATTGTTTTCATTTCATACAGTATAAAATCGATCGACACTTAGTTCGTATATTATATAATACGTATATTATTAGTATTTCGACATTAAGCCTAATATTGAACCACGATTTTGTAATGTAGTTTTATGTAACAATATAAAATTTCGATGCTTACAAATCTCCTAGAAGATGTTTTCTATTAATAATATGTAGTAGTTAAGACAGAACTAATAACTTTTACTAACTCAACGGTACCATATTTATTGTATTGTGATCAGAAATACAAGCGGTTGCCAACTTGGCTGAAATTGAAAATTTCGTTAAAATATTCCATTGAATTCATGCATAGCTCCATAAATAGTTACACACTAGAAAGCTTGTAAGATTCCGATCGCGATCGATCGCGTTAGTATGTCAAATGGCAGGTAAAGGGCGTGATGCAATTTGTGATGAAATTTGTACATAATTATCTTTAAGCAAGCACTTAAGTACTACTTTATTTTTTTTTATTTTATTATTATTGAGGTATTACTAGTGGCCTTGAGTACTCTGAAACGGTTTGCGTTGGATTGTATTTTTTTTTTTTCGATTAATGGTGATGAACGATTATTAGACCTCATGCTGTAAATCCCGCTATCCATGTTGAACCACGAGGTAATGTAATGGCTTAATGGCGATCCGACCTTTTAAAATCGAAATGTATTACCGTTTCAAGGTAGAAACAGGCATGGTGGTGGTACCTACCGGTGCGGGCTCACAAGACCCCCCACCATCGGTGATGAGATAGCTTATCGATAATAATAATTCGTTCGCTTAAGTCCTTCACTCTAGTCCACCCGAATCTGGGCTCGTTGCAATTGAAAAATATCGATGCATTTTGAACTGAATGTCGATTTTAGGTGCTATCGATAATAATAATTCGTTCGCTTAAGTCCTTCACTGGTCCACCCGACTCTGGGCTTGTTGCAATTGAGAAATATCGATGCATCTTGAACTGAATGTCGATTTTAGCGAAATGAGTTTTCTCGTCTGCTTCTCCGCTAGTTGATAGCTCCGCCCGGTCTATTGTGCTCGATCGACAATTTAAAACGTTTGTAAGTACATTCTGAATGACCAGGAAGCATCTCGTTTATCACCGCTCTTCGTGTGCAGGGATAATTTGCCTCTTGTATCAAATTATTTCCGACGAATTATAACTTGATTTTGAATGATTGTGACGTCACAGGTTTTGATCTTATCGATTTAATAAAAAAGTTCTTGTTCTTATCGATTTAATAAAAAAGAGCGATTTGAGACAAAAGAGTACATTTAAAAATAGAGCGGTTACTTAGAAAAAGAAAATTAATATACTCACTTAAGTGAATGACTCGTTCAACAATGTTAAATAAACGTGATCGGTAACGTGATCGGTTTTCATAATCGATGCTTGAATCGGTAATAATCGGTAATTTGTTTTGGCGGATGCATTACTGAAAACATTAAATAACGAACATTAACTAGTACGTGTTGTTTGCAGCAATATTTGTTGCGTTTCTGCGATGGCACCGATGATTCTGATGAAGAAGGAACTGAAGAGTCTTGGTGTACTTGTCTTTCGTCGCACGAGGTATGTACTAACTAATAAATAGTTATAATAATACGTATTTAATTATATTAAAGCTAATATTTCTATTTTTGTGCGTTTGAATAGTGTTTTTGATTAGAACTAGTGGCCCCGCAGTAGTCGAAATTCGACTATAATTAATTGAAATTATAAGTTTTAACATTATTATGGTTCTATTGTCAAAGACTATTCAAAGACTATACTTCTTGCATTAGACGCCTTCAGCTCTAATACTAGGACCAGGCTTAGGGATCCCGGTAAGCCGTGCAACCTAACCCATGCATCAGCACGGGTCCGATTCCGATCCGGTAGTAGATTCATTCGCGAAGCAGCTGCTCTTGAGTTGCTAGGTCTCCTTCGTAGGCGCTCGGGCAGCTGTTAGCAAATTCTACCCCTCCTGATTGAGCCTTTGCTATAGCACTGTACGAGTATAAAAATAATATTAAAGATATACAATATTACAGCAATGACAAAAGTTTGACAATAAACAAAGAGTAGGTATATTATTATGTAAGAGTATATGTGTGTGTGTCAAATACAAGATAGTGTGTGTAATGTATTTTTTATTGATTTAATGTATTATTAATGCATAATTAAAAAAAATATCACCCAAAAGAGTGAATTCAATAATATATTCATTTTTTCTATGTATGTTAAATATTATTGTGTGTAGATTTTGTTCAGTTATGTGAACCTATAAAAAAAATAGTTTGGTATATTTTTGTGTTGGAACATATTCGTTTTGTTTTTCAAAAAGTGCGAGTATTATTTTTTGTTCAGTATCCATTGATGGGTTTTTGTTCACAAAAACGTTATATTACAAGTACCAAAAAAATAATAATGTCAATAGTAAAATAAGACAACAAACAAATTTAAAACAAATATAAATCTTGATTTTTCAATGATTATGGTCGAGTTTCGATCATTGGGTGATCACTAGTAAATTATAATTGCCCTAAGGCATTACAGTATTTACGCTCGTACTTATGTTATTATAAGGGATTTTATATTTAATTTATTTTTGATATTTATATTATGATATTTAATTTACTTACGTGTTTAAGGGAACTAATCATTTTTGGATGGATTTATATAATAATGTTTGAAAGACAAAAAAATATTTGTTGTTTTTATTGGTATTACTTAGTAAAAGCTTGCGTACTGTGTAGGTATGTTTTGTTATTAAAACTAATTCAATCATTTCGTTTTTATTTCAAGATAAATCATTCATTTGTTACAGGATGACGACGACGAAGACGAACCTGAACAAGAATCGGACAGGCTTTGGGTGAGTAGAATTTAAAATAAAATACGTTCTCTAAGGTTCAGGTAAAACGATCCGCGCCTGGTTACATTTCGCGTGAACACGTCCATTTTTTGAAGCGACTCGACGCCTATTGTACGTTGATTCGTTGGTCGTATTGACACAAACTTTTGAACCGTTGACACCTGTAACAAACTATCACACCATGTAACAAACTATCACACCATGTAACAAACTAACCTGTAACAGTCGAACAAAATATGCGAACGTCTAGATTACAAAGAAACAAATTATGCACATACACAAAAGTCTATATATCAACAATCAGGGTATGTACAGACTTAACCTTATTATTAACACGAAGCCCTCTTAAGATAAAACGTTGTTTATTGGTTACTTATTAACATTATAATTATTGACATAATATAACGTGTGCAAAGATTGTAAATAATAATAAGCGTGCTAAAAGCGAGCATGTTTCCAAACAAATAGTATTGAAAATTAAAACGAAATTAAGACATTGATTTTATAAAGCTGTATTTGTGTAAGGGTGTCTTCGAAGCGCGTCTAAACAAGTTAACATTTTATAAACGTTTGTATAAGCATGATGCGATTTTAATGTATTATTCAGATAATTCAAGTCCGTGTCACTAAATATGTTTCCAACGTTACATAACAAAAAAAATTTTTTTTTTCGATTATAATTTTTATTCGGCACAGTGTCAAGAAAATACAATTTAAATATATGTAACGAACATACGATATTAATGTTAGAAGTTTTTTTTTTCTTTCTTTTGTTTCTCTTTCAAATGCGCAGACTCGAACTGTAGCTTTCCTCCGCCTTTGAGTTTGTTCCCATCGTTTGGGCCGTCCAGTCGGGACTTTAAAAGGTGCCACTGCGCCAATCTCTAATCGTGTCGGTACTCGGTGATTCTACGCGACGTCACTTCGTATACATTGCATGAACGGAAACTGTGTTTGAATTTCGTGCATTCATTTAAATCGTATACGTCAAACTTTTTCCTCGCGGATAATTTTTGATTATTCTTCCGTGTTTGAAATTCACTATTTAAATTGTAAGCATTTTTTGCTTTTTGTTTTCGCTCGTTTATACATTATATTTTACGTTGGTTTGCGTATCGTTTTAATTTTATATATGCCGTTAAGAATATCTTTTGTTGAGCGAAAAAGTTCCTTGTTTGTGTAAAGGTTATCATTGTGATAACAGTTATTTTTAATACTTTTCGTTTGTTTAATTTAGTTTCCTCATTGTTTTAAAGTCAGTATTTTCGAAGGCATGGTAAGTAGTCATCCTTTTCAATCTTTCTTACCAAATTTACTTCAAATGTTTGCCGTGAGTTATGAAAATAAATTCAAAATGGTTTATTTAATTGGTAGTTGTCTCTCAAAATAATTGTATAGTTAGTAACTCGATAGTACATAACATTAATTCATTTTTAATGCGCTTCGTACTAAACGATCCATTAATTTACCACACAAAATAATAATAGGATGTCAATGTCACTGCTTGATCTCAACTAGATGATATATCCCAGTATTTGCTTAGCAGCAGAACAGTTTTAAAAGGAACATAAATCAGTTGAAGATACTTGCGAGAGTCGCAGAAAATACAAATATGCTTACTATATAAACATCCACAGATATATCTCAGTAAATACATATATATACAATAATACACAACGAATGTATGAAGCGAAAATATTGACTTTCGTTGGTTGTTTTCAGACACACTAATATAAATTACATTATCATAATTGACAATGTTGCACTGAATAATTATTGCTAATTGAAATAATTATGCACACATTAAAAATGTCTTAAGGAGATAATACTTACGCTCGTCTCGTATCGTAGTAGTAAAAGATTGCAGTTAATTTTATTTGTTTTATTATTTTTTATAGTAACGCACTTATTAACGAAAGAAGTCATTGATTCATTCATGTCAAACACGAGAGTAAATGTGTGTAACTTTACAAGTATATATATGTCGTAGGGATGTACCGTATATATTGTACAAGTTTCTTTAACTTTTACGCGGTAACGGCACATTCTATTGGCTTATATAATAGCATTGAGTAGGAAAAAAGGGATTGTTTAATGTGTTTAAAAAACAGTGTTTGGTGGTAGCGACAAATGGAAGATCTTCCACTGAACGAGTGTCGCCTGTAGATTTACCGTCCAAATGCCGTAGTTCAGAGCCTCTGTATAATATAGTATTCGAAGTATAACTGGAAAATGTCATTAGCGCGATTTAGGCCCCGCTTAATCATCCCCCCTCTACGATAGGTACTATTAGAAAACCTTTGTAAATAAAATTTATGTAGATGGCGGCAGATGAGTTCAGTGTATGCCTTGAGACACCGCTTTGAGACATGAATTTGAAGTGACTCGAACTACGGACTGCTGACCATAGGTTCCCTTCAAATATTTTATTTTTAATACGCTTTTATTAACTTCTGAAACGTATGTATGGTAGTATGTAACGGAATCTTTGAACATGATTTTGACCACCTTCAAAACGTCGGATTAACTCGAAATTTGGTATACTTATTAAGGACCGATGACAATTCAATATTAAAAAAATATATATTTAAAAATTGAAATTCAACTAAAAAATGAAAAATATAATAATAAAAATATTTAAAAAAAACAAAAAAAAACGCTATTATGGAAAATCCCACTAAAAAATAGAAAATAAATCTTAATAAATTTGAATTAAAAATAGTTGAATTATAACTACTGATACCGTGCACCCCACGCTTTTTTACAATAAAACCTTTCTTACACTATTTTTAATTCAAATTTATTAAATTTAAAGTAAATATGATTATAAATATAAAAAAATATGATTTGAAATTTATCAGTTGATTAAGGCAGTTGAAATTTAACACAGTTTCCGTTCAAATCTTTTCGTTCGTACGCGATCTAGACGAAAATGGAAAAAGCGCCGAAAATAGAAAAAAAACCGACGGAAAATACTACTAACTTCCAGAAATTAGTAAGTTGTTATCACTAAAAACATTCATTCTCACAACAACATAGTTCATTTTCATAGATAAATAAATATATTCTGTAAATTGTGGTGTCATTTTATATTTAAAAAAAATGTATATTGCAAGGAATACATACAAGCTACGTGCGACAAACATTTATAAAATTGATTACACATTAATAATGTCGCAAATACGTTGCCAGTCGCATTCGAACTACGTGATAAAAGGTTAATTTTTCGAATTTGTGTAATGCGACGTGTGATCAGGAACATCAGAAATTAAATATAACATCAATTATAATTAAAGTGTAAACAAGTCTTCTCGAGTTCGTGTTGAAAACGTAACACGTTTATTAAAACTAATTCACACAAAAACATATCAAAGTTACGCTTGATACGCGAGACTGAATGTGAATAAAAAAAAAATATACTACAAAATTTTAATTGGTGGTTGGGGGGTTATCTGTCGTCTGGGAGAGCTTATCGTTAGCACGAGGCCCCCGGAACAGCGGATCGACGGATTTAAACATTGTTAGCGCTTTCTGTGCGGAACGAAACGCAAATGTCAATTTTGAAACATGTTTTTCCAACTTTAGACGGTAGTTGAGCGTTAATTTCGAACTATTTAAACGGCTATAATTAAATACAGATTTGATTGTAATACACGAAAGCGGTACACGAAAAAGTTTCTTATCGGAATGTTAATAACGAAAAATTTAATTTTGAATTTGTATCTATAACGTTTTGTACACGCGGAAGCATTAGATAATTATTATAAATGATGAACAGTAGTCGTCGTAGTAACTAACGTCGGCAATGTCATAAAAATAATTATGAATAAGTCGATTGTGGCGAGTTTATATGTGAAATGTATAGTGTCGAACGGGATTACATTTGCGTTATAAGGAATTCAGTGCTCAGTTGCTTGCGGTTGGAAACGTATTTGCAGTGCTGTTGGCATTTATAATGGAAGAACAGAGGGTTATTGTTTTTATTATTTTTTGATTTTATATTTTAGTGACCCCCGTAATAACGGGAGGATGATCCGTGCGTGCTCCACGTGTCTCCGGAATAAAACGTTTTCGAAGCTCTCAATGTTTTAAGGAATTAATGTGCGGAAGGTCACGTAATTGGTCGGGAATTCGTAGCCAGCTTCAATACGTGATCAACCTTATTGTTTATTTATTATAAGATCGATTGAATTATCATCAATCTCAATAATATATCGTCGGCTCTACGTGAGCAGTTCTCTATCGTCGTTTTGCATGTCATCCGCTTCCGATTTTACTAATTGCATACAAACTTAGTCTCGTCCCGTGTTTTTGTTAAAATAGTCTTATTTTCTGTCCTCGATTGTGTCCCTGAGCATCTACGGATGGCATCTTATGAAAAAATCAAATCGTTCCACTGTTTCTATCATCTTTTATTTATATCTATTAAAATATGTACGAACGTGATATGCCTTATATATATATTTTTAGAATACACGTGTCCTCCGATTGTAAAAAGTTATGTGTGACCCGACATCGTATTGCATACGTTTGTTTAAATGTTTTTTTTTAAAAAAAATTTTTGTCTACCCGTTTTGATATTTTAAATATCGATTCGTAATGAGAGAGAAAAATATGGAATATCATATGTAGAAAATAAATAAATAATTTTTAATGTTGACGATTTGACTGCATCCTTAGTAACTCGTTGATTTGTTTAATTGAAATAATAAAATATAATTCTATACCTAAAAAAAAATCATGAAGGAAAAAAACGTACGCATTTTTGTTTGTATTTTTTTACATAGATTTGAATTATAATAAATATTTCATCAATAAACTGAATATATTATAATGTGGTTGTATAGTTTTTTTCTTCGATGTTCGTATCGTATTAACATACGGCTGTTGTAACGCTGAAATTGTTTTCCACTTTGTCATCGGATACAGCGGTCACGGGTGGTCCCGCGCTGGTCTCAAATTGCATTTCTCTCTTACATTTGTTTACATATTTGAACGAATAGATGTTTTTGTATAGCACGGCGATATTATTTAGGTATATACTAGCTGACCCGGCAGACTTCGTAGTGCCTCAATCGTCGATAAATAAAAAGACCTAAACGTTTTTTATAAAATAAACTTAAAACAAACAAAAGGAATTCATCCGACGGGGGACACATCAAAACAAAATTGTTGTTTTTATTTAATTTCGAGCATTTTCATATTAATATACCTTTTAAACCTTCTCTGGACTTCCACAAATAATTCAAGACCAAAATTAGCCAAATCGGTCCAGCCGTTCTCGAGTTTTAGCGAGACTAACGAACAGCAATTCATTTATAAAAGTTAATTTAATATATAGGGATCAGGTTCTTGGCAACTCCGTTTTTGTTTTGCAGAGGAAGCGACGTTACGAGCCGTCTCCGCCGCATACGAGCAAAAGGTTTTGTGCGGACAGTCCCCCGGGGCAGGAACGGCAGCTCGTCCCGGGCGGCAGCGGTCAGGGAACCAGCCTGGGTAATCCCGAGATGAAACAGTGGCTCAATAGGTAAGAAACAAAAGTTTCGATATTTGCAAGTCAAGCCTCTCAGTAGGTGGATTATAAATTAGTTCATAGCTTCGTTAAATTCCTCCCACATAATATACTGTATAAAAATAAATTAATAATGGTTTACTAGTTATATTTGTATTAAAAAGTGAAGTTGTAGACTCCCGTTAATGGTACATAAAATTAATGTTATGATGAACTAGCTTTTGCCCGCGTCTCCGTCCGCGTGGAATAGTTACTTTGGCATAACGCTAAATTTTACCCCCCACTTCAATTACGTAGAAAATGAAAATATTTTTTAATAATAGAATGTTAAGGAAGCTATTTAAACCCCTATTTTGAAACATTCTTAATTGGTGCTCCACTTGTATTGGTCTTACAAGGAAAACAAGGAATTTTTCAAATCGGACCAGTAGTTCCTGAGATTAGCGCGTTCAAACAAACAAACTCTTCAGCTTTATAATATTAGTATAGATTAAATAATCAAGCTTCGTAGCTGTTTTTCTCCTGAGGACAGTTTATTGGAATTACTTGGTGATCCAATTGTAATTTGTTGTTTTTTTAAATGCTACTTATTTTTGAGAGAACACTCGGGTCAGTTTCTAGAAAGCTTAGCTGTATATTTTTTAAACATATAGTTAAAATTAGAATAGGAAACTATTGTAAGAGTTTTAATTCTACGTGTAACAGTCACGATCTACCAAATTCTATAGCAACTTTCTTATTGTAAGGAAGAGACAAAACGTCCTCTTTAATATCCCATAAACTAAAATCATCAATCAAACAACCGTAATTTTTTTTAATGATTAAATAATTTCATCAAATTTAGCGAAAGAAATTGTTTTGAGAAATACGACCACAGTGAACTAGGTCCATGATTCGTCATCTTGTTACGACCAGTTCTTGTTAATTTGTTTTGTTCGGAGTCAGCTCGAACGCTGCTCGCTTGCGTTTTGTTATTTTAACCGTATTAATAATTTAAAGGTAAGTGCAGAAAGCAACTGATGAGTAATCGTTTTGCAATTTTGTTTAGGTTAATTTTAGTGAGGTCACATTTAAAATTCGAATTTGGCAATTTAATATTTTCCATTGTTGCAATGTAATTGTGCGTATGTATGTGTGTGGCTATCCCGTTAGCTACAGTTTTTTTTCAGAAAATACATTCTTGAGACGCATTCATGAATGACCACCACGTTGAAGGATTAACATCGTCTAATTAATAATGATAATCCTCTCCCCCCTCAATAACGTAGGGCGTATTTTAAGCCCGTACGCGTATTTATCATCATCCTACATAGCTTCAGCTTAGAGTGTGGGCAGCTAGATCGTTCACCCATATAAAAGAACCACTATATACTTCAACACACCTATTGTTTGAAAGCTCTAAAAGTCTAAACGAAATGCGCACACGCCCTAAGTTTTATCGTCTGGCGTGTCGTATTTCTCCGCGAGCTGGATTCTAGTTATCCTTATAACAATAGCAAAACCATAGTTCAGTTTCAGTATAACGTCCACTAGCATCAAGTGTTTTAATTTGGCTTCGCACAAGTTGTATCGGGCACGCCGTCTGTCTTCACTGATCGGTCCAATATCGTTCTGATTTAATATCAATTGAATTTGTTTCGCTCAGATTCCAATCGTGGACGAACGCCGAAAGGATACAAGCCATTGACGCGTTGATCAGTCGTTGTGCGGCCAGCCAAGTACGGCACATGATGAAGGCGATCGAGCCACTTTTTCAACGGGATTTCATCTCGCTCCTGCCCAAGGAACTGGCCCTTACCGTTTTAGGGTACCTGCAGCCGATGGACTTGCTGAGAGCCGCCCAAACTTGCCGATACTGGAGGTAAGTTAATTTATCATTCTTATGTTTGGGTGCTTGAAAGTGCTTGTTTCATTGTGGGAGCCTTAAAGATGCGTTTTGTTTGAAGTGTGTTCACAATTGTTTAATTTGGTAGACTGTTCATATGTTTCACACTGTTGGTAATGTTCGTCACTATTATGTATGATAATAATTAATTATAGGCATATTAAAATTATGTCGCGTAATCTCTTCTGTGAAACAATTTTCCTCGTATAGTTTATCATAGATCACGCAATAACCGATTAATTGAAGTATCTTGTGATTTTAATATGCCTTTTAAACGAAAACGTTACACGCGAATTGAAATTTTCAATTTAAGATTGATTGATTTTTTGAAGAACTAGCAGAAGTATTTATTTGAGTTGTTTGTGAAGTGTTTTAATATTAGAAATACGATTAAAGTAATGACTAGTTTCGAAAGATTTATGTATGTAGTTCGATCATTTCTCAAACTAAGACGATTCACTTAATTAATTCATTCATTTGCTTCAGTAAAACCGCTAAGACTGGGTGCTTATCAATTGCAATTAAAAAGGAAATTGAATCGATCGACAGTAGGTCAGAGACGAATATTCGATGTGAATTTAGTTCGTCACTCCCAACTAAAAGAAATACTTTGTTCTCAAGTTCTCAACCTACTTTAAAATCATTTTGTACTTATTCGTTCTATTTTATGATTACAATTTAAATCAGGACGAACGAATAATATCTGCGTTACATTTTTTTTTTGTTTTTGTCTCCACAACAAACAGTGGGATCATATTCGAGTTTTGTTTTAAATTTTCTGTATAAACAATGACGATTCTGATAAATATAAGATAGAGGATCACTACGTGAGCGCATAATGTGTTGTATTACACAGCAATCACGTAACTATAAACAAAGCGTCAACTTTCTTATTGTAAATATAATAATTGCAGATATTATGTTTTCGTTATATATGTATATATATGCTATCAAAGTTAGGGCTTAAAGGTTTAAATGTGCTATCAAAGTTAGGGCTACCACTGTTCAAGTATGGGGGTTAAATCTTATGTTTGTCTGAATAAAATTAAATGTGGTTTTTCTTTTCAATATAATATACAAGAGCAATAAGTCTGCGGGACAGGAAGTCTGTTAACATGAGAATATATATATTGTTTTCAAGATTGAATAATCTGACACTCCAAGTCAATTGAATCGAGAATCTTGAGTAGGATAATAATGGGTTCAATTTATTGCTTCTTACTAGCATGATTCCAGTGCCTTTGTATGAGAATATCTTATTCACAAGGAGGTCGATTGAGTTGTTTACGAGAAATAATATTATTGGAGATTCCATTGAAAAGAGTATTAAGACAAAATAAAGTTAAAGTAGGATTACGAATATGAATTTGGAAACATTCACCAAAACTGAACGGCCCACACGAATAATTCTTTCAGTACTTTGAATATTTCTCGAATAATCTTTCTCGATATTCGAGCACAATGCGAGTATAACCGAAGTTTCTATATTTAAATAGCTCAATACTCGTTTCTGCATGAACTAGCGTTGTAAAAGGAAAGAAAACGTTTTAAATGTTTACCAAAATAAAGTTGCAACGATTTTGTAGCAACGTGTGTTGTTGCACGCGCGGGTGGAGACCACGTATGTATGTATTGAAATAGATTGGACTTGAACACAATGAAATTGCGAAGGTCGCGGTATTTTTCGCACAAACTTAAATACTATACTACCCACTTTAAATGATATTATTGAGCGAATACTTATAGTACGTAAAGAGAAAACAAAAAAAAAATATCGGTAAATAAAACGGACAAATATAAGAAAATAAAACAAACCGCTGAAATTGTTTCAACGGTTATTTCTCACGAGAGCTTTGATTCGTTTTGAAACCGGCGTAGCAGTTCATTCGCGGTATTATTTCATAAACATATAATGTATATATATGTACATACATATATATAAATATTCTGACATCGACAGGTATGTTTAAAATATTTTGAGGTGCTTTAGAGACTTAAACCCGAAGGTGGCGGCAGTATTGAGCTCTCTGTGGTTCTGGTGCCATTTTCTGGTCGAATTTTATTATCAGCGTAACTATTTAGTTTAAATATCGAAGCCCTAAAATCATTGTTTAATGAAATGAAATTCTCCACTCGAAGTCTCATTAAAGTTGAATTGAACCATAAAGGTTGCACTGTACTGCGAATGAAAGCACACTGTTTGGGACAATTTCATTTCTCGTTACATTGTTTTTTTTTGTTACGTTCGTCTATGAAAGTCTTAATATGTTCTTTGAGTCTAGTCACTTTTAGCGATTGTTGACTGTTAACCTAGATTTTGTATAACCATTTATTCATATGATTATTTTAATAAAAACAAATAGATCACGTTTACCATGTTTCCATTATTCATTCACATCATTATTCTTTGAGCGTTTAGTACAGCTTTCAGTGTTTCTTTTCGTTCAGTAAACATAGTAGTTGCCCCTCGTTTTGGTTTGTTTAGATTCTAGCTGATGTCACTGTTTTTTTAAGGTCTCAATAACATGTATGGATTTTTCTTCAGGAAAGGTACGTAATTCTTTCAAAAACAAACAAATTATTCGGAACGTTCTAGAACAATCCAATCTTATTCGGTAGGTTCCTAGCTGATGATAACCTGCTCTGGAAGGAGCAGTGCCGTCGCATTGGTATCACCACTCTGAAGAAGACTCCTCGTTCGCTTCCCCGATGCGCGAGTCCGTGGAAGGCGGCTTACATGCGCCAGTATCTGATAGAGGACAACTGGCTTCACAAGCCGGTCAGCAACCCTATTGTGATGCGGGGCCATGATGATTACGTCATAACTTGCCTCCAGTTCTACGGGAATCGTATCCTGAGCGGGAGTGACGATGCCACTTTGAAGGTCTGGTCGGCTATAACTGGCAAGGTAAGGTTTGTGTGATCACATGTGATGATTTCTTTATGATTCACGATTTACAAATAAAATATACTGGGTGTTAGGAGACCGCTTCCGAAAACCAAAATTTTGTACCTACAAAGCTGTAAACTTTTGGAGTGCGGTATCTGCGCCGCGCCGGTATGCGCGTAAAAGACGCCGCGTCCGTGCGTTCGTTGATCCGAGCATCAGTTGTTTTCGAATTTGTGTTTCATTGCCGGTTTTTTTTTTGGTAAGGTGATGTATTTTTATTCAAACTATCGTTTCATTTAGCTGTAGTAACTTGATGGAGCGTCAATAATGCTAATAAAACGTTTTAAAAATATGTTTTTTTTTAAAATCAGTATCGATTTTTTTCCGTCCCATCATCAAAGGTGTCATTAGTACTGTCGTCTGTCTTCGTTTTTGGAAACGGTCTCCTAACACCCAGTTAAGGTGAAGTAAAAATTAGAGCGGACCGTCTGTTGTATGATGAATCGTTAACAAGAGTTGATTTCTCCTTTAGTGTCTCCGTACTCTAGTGGGTCACTCGGGCGGGGTGTGGTCGTCGCAAATGATCGGTGACTTGGTGATCAGCGGCTCGACCGATCGAACCCTGCGCGTTTGGAACGCTAAGAGCGGACAGTGCTTGAAGGTGCTCGCCGGTCACACGTCCACCGTACGTTGTATGCATCTGCATCAGAACAAGTATGTCCTTCAATTATAATATGTATTCTCTTCTATCAGTGACAAAGCGAATTCATTATTTTATATTTCTTTTTAGTTTTTATTTCTTAAACATATAAGTTTTGTGTTAACGGTACTTTATACATAAATTATTTTCTATTGAAATAAAATCTCGTATGGCTTAGAATCAGAGGAAGTGTGAAAGTAGTCCCGGTAATATACAAATTAAAGAGCGGACGGTATAGACATGTGATGCGTAGAAGATGCATGTGACTAGGAGATGTATGGAAATAGTAGTGCAAGGTAGAAAGGGAAGAGGTAGATCGAAGAAGACATGGATGTAGTGTGTGAATGACGATATGAGAGAGAGAGAGAGGAGTGAGTGTTGAGATGACGGCTGATAGAAGAGAATGGAAGAAAAAAACTTAGCTGTGCCGACCCCACCTAGTGGGATAAGGTGGACAAAAAAAAGATTGCTTAGAATCACTAGGATATACGATTACTGTTTTAAGGTATACACCCCTATTTTTTAATTAGTACAAAAAATTTAACTGGGCTCTAAGTATCTTTAACTAATCATATTTGTGTAGTTAAAAAATAAAAAACGCTAAGTCTCAAAACTGTCCACAAAAATACGTAATAACTGGTAAATGCTAAATAATTATAAAAAAATCAATCAATGACCGATAGTAGATACGGGCGGCGGGGTTTGGGTACCTACGGGGCGCTGCTCCATTGATAAATTCCGGGAAACTCAAGTCGAAGCCCACCAACCACCCCTTGTCCCTCTGCGCCCGCGCCGTGCTCCGACGCAACAACGACAAAAACAGTGCTAAATTGTTATCGGAAGTGTGCGCATGCTTTTTTTCGTTGCAACAGTTGTTTGTTTAAGTTTTCCCTGACGCGATGGCTTATCAGTTCACATCACGGGAGTATGTAGCTATGCTTCGTGCGTACTTTTTGAGTGGAGAAAACGCGAGTGCAGCTGTACGTATGTACAGGGAAGACACCCAAACGCTCGACAGCCAAATGTGCGAACCGTGGTAAATGCTTACCAGCGTTTACTAGATCGCGGTTCATTCCACGCACGGTCACCTACGTACGTCAAGAACGAGGAAGACCGGCGTTGTCACAAAATCTGTACGACGATGTACTAGCGTATTTTGAAGAGGATCCCCGGCGGAGTACAAATGACGCTGATCGACGGTTTAACATCAGCCAGTCCTGTGCCTGGAAGATTATTAATAAGGCTGGATTACATCCATATCACTACAGGAAATCTCAAGAATTAACGCCCATGGACTTCTTTTTGTGGAGTGAAATTAAGAGACGTGTGCACAGAAGCGAGCGAATTAGGCTCGAACGATTAAAACAGCGCATATTGGACGCTATTCACGAAGTGAAAAGACAGAAGCGTACTTCTCTCGTTAAAAACAATTTAATGAAACGAGCCCGTCTGTGTATTAACAATAGTGGCGGACATTTCGAAGGACAATTGAAATACTTGTAAGTTTAGTAAATAATACCTATGTAAATAATTATTGTAAATAGCACCTGATTCTAACTTCATAAATATGCCAAAATTTCTCTTTTCTTTTAGTACAAAATACCTTATTTTATTGTAATATTTGTTTATTGTTTTCTAATCACATACGTATTTAATTAATTGTAAAAAGGTAATTTTGCCGGTCCTAAGCCCGGATGAATATGACAGAGAGGTTAGAATTTAGAAAATTAAATAAAGTAGGTAACTACATCACATGTTCTTTTGTTTCATTTTATTGTCTAAGGCCATCTACGTCACAAGTGCGACAGTACGAATGCGAATGAGTAGGATGGAATACCATCAATGAAGTTCAATGAACTAATGAATGGATTGTAAAGTAATATGTCCATGATTTCAGTGAGATTTTTTACAATAAACAAATGATAATAACTTTGTTATTTAAAGGTATTATGAGATTTTTCCGTCACATATATGATAATAATGTCTTCCCTAATATGTCCTTAAAATTTTTGTACCAGTTATAAAATAATGGTGTATAAGCGTTATACCGTTGTTATAAAATTGAAAAAAAAGACATATTAATAAATTGAACTAACATCGCGAATGATGAATCGATTGAAGCAAACGAAATGCGAAATGTTTATGAGAACAGAGAGTTTGACATTGATAGGTAAACACGAACGTTCACTTGTCCGTTCAGGGTCGTGTCCGGTTCCCGGGACGCCACACTCCGCGTGTGGTCGATACCGGACGGCCGCTGCCTGAGGGTTCTGGTCGGACATCTGGCTGCCGTACGTTGCGTACAGTACGACGGTAAGGTGGTCGTGTCCGGCGCGTACGATTACTTCGTCAAAGTATGGAATCCTGAGACCGGTGAATGTCTACACACACTGGCTGGACACACTAACAGGGTGTACAGTTTGCAGGTGAGTAATGAATTTTTTTTGTTTATTTCTTATTTAGTTGGTTGTCTTTTTCTTATACAGAGGTCGCTACGAACGTCCATACTACGTACGGTCTGTACAAAAAGTTATTATTTTTTATTTATTTATTGTTAAATGGGCGGACGAGCTCACAGCCTGATGTTAAGTGGTTACTGGTGCCCATAGACTTCTATACACCTTGAGATATAAGTTCTAAGGTTTCAGTATAGTTACAACGGCTTGTCCGCCCTTCAAACCGAAACGCATTATTGCTTCACGGCAGAAATAGGCGGGGTGGTGGTACCAACCCGCGCGGGCTCACACGAGGTCCTACTACCAGTAATTACGCAAATTGTAATTTTGCGGGTTTGATTTTTATTACACGATGTTATTCCTTCACCGTGGAAGTCAATCGTGAACAATTGTCGAGTACGTATTTCATTAGAAAAATTGGTACCCGCCTGGGATTCGAACACCGGTGCATCGCTCAACACGAATGAATGCACCGGATGTCTTATCCACGACTACTTACTTCGGACTAATGCTTCTACAATTTTAACGGAATTTTTGAAAACCGTTACAAAACATGAATTCTCCCATAAAACTAATTTACTTTTTAAATATTATTTTCGCCTTTACTAGCATTTGAGCTGTGCTTTAGTTTTTAAAAATGTCGCCTTCTCCATTAAATCGAGTCATTAAGGGAACGGCTAATGAAAAAATACGCGAATTCTGCACGTCATCTATAAATTAATAATATCATCGAACGAATGTGGACGAAGATCTGAAAATTTAATTTTGAAGCTACAAGACTTCTTCTTCTTGCTTCGGTTTCCTCAATACTGAGGGTCGTGACCGCCTCTTCGCAACAAGAATTTATTCCGGATCATTCCACGCCATTTGCTCCTATCTGCCGCCGAGTGTAGAGCATCGTGAACTGTGGTGTCGAGGGTAGTGCGGATCTGGTCAGTCCAACGTGTCGGGCCTCTGCCTCGTGGTCTTCTTCCCTCCACATTGCCGGTCACCATTAGCTTCTCTAAACTGCCGTTATCCTTTCTTGCAATGTTGCCAAAGTATTCCCCAATTCTACGTCGGCAGATGGTAGATAGCCTCGTCTTTATTTGGAATTCATGGAGGATCAAGACGTTGGTGCGACGTGCCGTCCGGAGAATTCCTAACATCTCTCGTCAGCATCATATCTCAAATGCATAAATTCGGTCACGATCGGCTTTCTTCATGGTCCAGGTCTCTGCGCCATATAAGAATATGGAGAATACTAAAGTGCGTACAAGATTGCTCTTGGTTTTCAAAGAGATGATTTTATCGTTTCATATCTTATTAAGTTGCGCCATGGTTTCCTTTGCCATTCCGATCCTTCTCCGTATCTCATTTTCGCACGAGCCGTCACAACTGATGTTTGCGCCCAAGTATACAAAGTTATACAGATACACAAACGTACAAGATAAAAGAGACAAGAGAGACAAAAGAGACAGAAACACAAAGGTATACAGAAAATACAAGTAAACATTCGAAATGCGAGAGGAGACTCTTAATGACACGTGCAGTCGTACGATTCGAAATCCTAGCGCGATCTTGGCTTTGTACCGCGCTAAAATGCTTTCAACTGGTGGTAGGATTGTGCTACTGGTGGTAGGACCTCTTGAGAGTCCGCCCGGGTAGGTACCACAACCCTGCCTACTTCTGCCGTGAAGCAGTAATGCGTTTCGGTTTGAAGGGTGGGGCAGCCGTTGTAACTATATTTGAGACCCTAGAACTTATATCTCAAGGTGGGTGGCGCATTTACGTTGTAGATGTCTATGGGCTCCAGTAATCACTTAATACCAGGCTGTGAGCTCGTCTAAACAATAAATAAAAACAAGAGTACCTATTGCGATCGATATTTAAATAGAGAACACGAACGCAGTTCACTTGACCGATTAATAATGTAATTAATTGTTCGATATGTTTGCAATAACAAATTTTATCTCGGTCGTTGCTTCTACACGTGATGCAATCTGCGAACAACATATTTGATGATCGCATAGGCCGAAATAGAACGTCGCATTTTAGATAAACAATACCTTTGACATCGGATCTATTTTAATTAAAAAAAGAGAAAACAAAAACCATTATGCGTACTCTCATGTGGCCTCTTTTATCTTTATAAAAACTCGACTAAACTGAAATGAATACCGCGTTCTTAGCTTAAAGCACTGTTGACGATATCCGGCTAATAACAGAATTATAAAGAAGATTATGCTCCTGTTCGAATCATTGTAAAGCGCACAAAATGCGCACTTAGTCTCTTGGTCATAAACGATGAAGGAACAATATATTACGATAAAAATAAAATCTTCATAAGTGTGCTTCTTTATGTTTAGCCAAAATATCAAATATTAATTACAAATTATTTATAAAATAAACTTAAAATATAAGTTCCTTTTCCTTTGAACGGTATTTACCGGTAACCTATTTCGTACGAAATAAAGTTCATAATAGGTTTCCTATTGTGTGAACTATTCCTAATGTGTCAACAACTTAAGATGTGGGGTCCGTGTGGTTTAAAGTGACTTTTCAACAACGCGTTTCGTGAACACTCCTACCTACTTACGATGTCCAAAAATTAAATGTTAATGTTCAAGTAAAATATTCTGTGTTCGAATAGTTTGACGGTAACCATGTCGTGAGCGGATCCCTGGATACTTCTATCCGGGTTTGGGACGTGGAATCCGGTCAGCTGAAACACACGCTCATCGGTCATCAGTCCCTTACTTCTGGCATGGAGCTGCAGTCCAATATCCTTGTCTCCGGCAATGCTGATTCTACAGTTAAAGTGTGGGATATCACGACGGGACAGTGTCTGCATACCCTTGCCGGTCAGTATGTAGAAAACTAATTTATAATATGAGACTAACGGAGAATGTGACTTGTCAATTTAATTTTAGATTCAATTTAATGATTATCGAAAAACAGCCTTTATAGTCAAATAATTACTAATAAAAATTTAAATTTTAACAGAGAAACGTTCTTGATTTTTTAAATACATATATTTATATATATACGCGACAATACGTTACAGGTACGAACAAACACCAATCGGCCGTCACTTGCCTTCAGTCGTCGAATCGCTTCGTGATCACGTCCTCCGACGACGGCACCGTCAAGCTGTGGGACGTTCGAACCGGCGAGTTCATACGGAACCTCGTCGAATTGTCATCGGGCGGCTCCGGAGGCGTAGTCTGGCGCATCAAGGCGTCCGCGACCAAACTCATATGCGCGGTCGGCTCTCGTAACGGAACCGAGGAGACGAAACTCCTGGTGCTCGACTTCGACGTGCCCGGGGCCTGCCGCAAGTGCGACGAATAGCATCGACTGAATCAGCGTCGTATTAGGCGCTACGCCAACTTGTACGCCCCCTGGCACTGCTGATTTGACCTCCCCCCAACCCCCCTCGACACGCGCACGATCAAGCATTAATCAAAGACATTTACCAAATAGAAAATTAGTGCCCGCTTCTGTTATGTCCTTCGTGTTCAATGGTGATTTGTTATGATCCTGAATATCCGTACTTATACTAACTAGCTGCTTCGTGTCTTGCTAATTAAACGTGAAAAATCAAATATGAACTTATTAGAAACATAAAAGATTATTAAAAAAACAATGGACTCCGTTATCCTAAAATATGTAATAATAGATAAAAATAAATAAAATATATTGTAGCAATACAACTAACGTATCGATATTTTACGAAATGACACCCTGTAATATCATATCATCAACAGATACTGTTTTTACTAAATACCGGAACATTCTATTTTCCATACAGCGTACGGCAATGAAAAGAAAATTTAAGAAATGAGAAGAAAATTTAAACACATTAAATTTCTATTATTGAGTCTAGCAATCGTAATAAACTTTAAAATCTCAAATTTAATTTTATAAAACATCTATCCAATTTGGTTAGATACGTTAAAGCTGACATTAGACTGACTAAAATTTTTTTTTTTAAATCTTAATACAGACGCTGTAGTTATAAATGTAATATCATAAATATATTGTCAGAAATTTTCCACATCCATCAATAATCGATTAATGCATTCTCATTATCTTCAGCACTTAACACTATTCTTGGTAAAGATAAATAATAAACAACTGTTTCAGAATTTGAACTTCCATGATCTCTTGTAGTACTCATTATTTATAGTCTAGATTCTAGATATTATTGGGATCCCTCCATTGATTGGTACTCCGAGCAAAACATTCGGAATATAAGTTTATAATAGTTTTTGTTATTTTATATTATTATTATAATTCTATTTATACTAAAAATACAAATGTATATCAGCTATGCGAAATTTGTGTTGTAGAGAAAGTTGAATAAAAAATAAATTATCTATTACATTACTGCCATTAAGAGGATTGCCAATCAATAATTGTATAGTTTACCCTAACGCAATGTAAAAAGAGTCGAATCCGGAAAATATGCAGGACACGAAACTGTCATCGGACACGAGGGCCTCCTTTGAAACTGTAGCGTCGTTTACGGACAAACGAATCGTCCACGTACGTATACGTACGCACATGCACGTGTACGTATGCACATGTACGTATAAGTACGCACATGTACGTGTAAGTACACACACGTACGTGTATATAGGCACATGTACGTACGTGGTCTATGTCTCGTCTCAATGTACCGTCTCGTCGCTCACTTGTGTTCTAACTGAATAATTAATAGAAATGTTCACATGAATCACCATATCGTGAACACTGTTCATTCTGAATGCGAGTGAAGATTGAATGTGAGCCGTTTGTATTCTTAATTTGTGAAATTAACTATTTAAATGTTAAATGTCTGATAGTTTTCGGAGAACAAAAAAAATATGTATTGCACACGTCGCGTTTTTGTTGTACTTTTTAATGTTTATTGTAACGGTGAGTGTTTGAATGTTGCTATTATTCGATTGAATTGGCTTTAATGTTGAATGTTACTTGAAATTTTATACATATCTAATTGATTTCCTTACAGTATAAGGGTATGCTTCTAAAAGTACAAAGAAAAACGATAGCAATATCTGTCAATTTCTGTTTTTTTAAAAGCTTCTTTACGGCTTTAGAATGTTAAAAGTATTTTAAATGTTTATTATTCCATATATAAAGACGCTAGTTTGCAAGCTAATGCAATATTGTAACGTTAGTGCCCATTTATATACAAGTTAGTTTTATAGTAACGTTATCTCAATAAAAACGCTTCGTGTGACCTTTTTAGAATTTAATGTTAAACATCCTATGTAAGTGTACAAATATTCTAAATAATGGATTTAATAATATTCTAAAATGCTTGATCGTAATATCGATCTCTAGTGCAACGAACAGGCTACAGGCAGGGGTTGGTTCTTGTCGAAATTGTACACTTGACGTGCAAATAATCGATCACATAAAATTATATTGAGAACATCCGATCGCCCTTCTATATCGATTATGTTGGTCGCGAGTGTACCCTTAGTGGATGTAACTACCCACCGGGACTTTACTAAGAGGTAAATGGACAGTTTTAAATAATAATATAATAAATATATAATATGTTCAGAGTAACTCATGTGTACACAATATATAGTATTCACTACATTCGATTACAGTACATGCCATTATGTGTAAAAAGCGTTTAATTCGAAAAAAGAAAAATATGTTGGTTATGTTAAAATGTCGCTGCAATCGCTTTAGTTTTATTTTATCAGTATCTTTCGAATATACAAAAGCGAAAACAATAGAAAAAACGGTTTATTTTTTAAGAAATCTTTCATTTGGTTATACCTTCGATTGATTGCCTTAGTTAAATTATTATAAGATTTCAACTCTGCAAATCGTTTCACTGTTTGGTAACAATTTACAGTTTTATTATAAATTCTTGTGAACACGTCATTTTTTTGGTGTCATTGCGTGTGTCAGCTAATCTTTCGTGTATTTTCTAACAATATGAATGAATTGAGTTTTGTAAGTTAAAGAAAGTAACATTGACGAATACATATGTCCTTTTAATAAATGACGAAGGAAAATTTTAATTAAAAATTTGTGTATTTTTATAACATTGATTTAATTTGAGCTTACCGAAGTTCAGTATACTGTTTTACTTTTCGTTTATTATGTTTCTTACTGCTGCGATAATATATAATGTGTACTCATATATTTATATATTAAAAGACAGATTATATATAGATACATCTATACAAATATATAAACCATTTATAAATGGCCAAATCAGAATATATTTATCGCTTTGAAACATAACTATCTAAGTATGATTAGTACTCACCATTATATTCATTTACCGAATTTTAAGGAAGTAGTAACTTAATCTCATGTAAACGCCGTGTTAAAATAAATAAATTGATAAAAATAAATATAATAAAAAAAAAAACAAAAAAAAAAAACATAAACGGTTAAATAGTTGTCCGTAGCTATTATAATATTATGTTCATAGTTTTTAATACTTCTAATGCGCCAGTTCTAAGACGTTAATTTTATTGAAACAAAACTTTATTTCACATATATTTTAACGTGTCGAATGTTTCTGTCTAAAGTAACATGTGACGTATGTTTTGGGAGGTTATATTGTAACTTTTTTTTTTTTTTAAACACTTATGTTCCGTTTTGTCAACAAAACTCCGTTTCCGTGTATACCGTAAAGAAGAACTCGAATACCGGATGTGGTGTTTGAATAGACTAGTATTCTTATTATTATTATTATTGTATTGTATCTTGATCAGTATAAAATTGTCTACTCAACACTGGCAAGTATTAGTAGCTGTAATAATAATCTAAAAAGAAAGGCTCTCTGCGATGAGAGTCGTTCAATTATTGGAAAATACCATACATACAAATCTCGTATCCGTTTCACCGTATTGTATTTTTAATAATATTTGTATATATGTTTTTTTTTTTTCATTTCTTATTTCTTCAAAAGGTATTAAAAATGGGCGTTACTTGTGACTAAATAATATCGAAAGCGGTATTGTGGCTGTATTGTTAAAAATAATTAAACGAAGACTGAAGCGTAGGTATAGTATATTTAAAGTATTAAATTTAGACATCTACTGATACATCACACAATATTTCTTTTTTTTTTTTTCTTATTGCTAAGCATAATATTTTATATGTATTACTTTCTTGTTATTAGTTTGTAGCGAAGACGACTAATGTCGCAACGGTAATTCTTCGACAATTAGTTACGGATTTATTAATAGATTAGTTTTTACGAGTAATGTTTAAGTTGTATTTGTCAATGCCGTAGACATTATGAGATTACAAAGTAACGTATGTGTTCTTTTTTCTTAATATTTATGTAAAAATGTTGTTGAAACTTACAATTTTACGAACGAATTTGAATTTTTTATTTAAAGTTTTTTTTTTATTTTTACATTTGAGGAACGTAACTTGATCGCGTAATTATAAAGTCGCATCACAATATTTATAATCGTTTACTAAGTAGTTCAAACTGTCACATTTGATTGTAATCATTTTGATTGTTTTATTTGTAATCTCACACTGTGTATGAGTGTTTTTAAATAGACAAAAAAAAATAAATGTAACACCAACTTACCCTTTGTGTGTACGTAGGGATGGCACGTGAGCGACAGTACCGTCATTATGTATATTAATTACTTTTTAATTATTATTTTTCTTTAGGTCGATGGAAATAAATTGTTATTTGAATCACAATTGTATTGGCTTTTCATTGGATGCATTGTGCGAGGCGTATTAATTCTTTGTCTTAGTTTTATTTAACTCTCTAAATGCGTTCCCATTATTTTTTCTTAATTGGAATTTGCCCTTAGTGTATTTTTTTTGATCAACGGTTTTCAGTTGTTATTATTAAATTTTAATTTCCTTATTTTTGCGTTTAATATAATGATTATTGATTAATAAAGTTCATTCGTTTTCAATTTTTTGTTGGTTTTTTTTTTCCGCAATATTTGCATATTTTCCCTAGTTTTACCAACTCTGTCCGTGTAGTGAAATATTCTATTTTTCTAAATGAAAAAGTACTTGATTTTAATTTTTCTAATTTTTCTTCTATGAAGGTTTCATTTTCATCGCCATGATCGAAATTTCAAGAGCCTTCCGTATTGAAAATCGTTCTGTCACTGAATAGATCTATAATACGGTTCTCTCTCGCCTTCCTCCTTGCGTAGATAATCCTCAATGCGGTCTGTGGTCTCCCTAAACCCTCCGGCCCTGCCTATTCTCGGCTGCGCGGATGGCATCGTGAACTGAGGTTTTTAGAGTAGAGCGTATCTGATCCGAGCAGCGTACTGGACGTTACATTTAGGTCTTCTACTATGTTTATAATTCGGAATATATAATATTCATGGGCTCGACATTATCTGTTCATTTTGGTGTTTTTATTATAATTTTTTTATTGTATATATGGTTCAACGAGCTCATAGCCCACCTGGTGTTAGGTGATTACCGGAGCCCATAGACGTCTATAACGTAAATGGCACCACCCACCTTGAGATATGAGTTCTAAGCTCTCGGTATAGCTACGGCTGCCCCGCCCTTCAAACCGAAACGCATTACTGCTTCACGGCAGAAATAGGCGGGGTGGTAGAAACCTACCCGTGCAGACTCACGGGACGTCATAATAGGTGAAGAGGTGCACCTGAGACCGTGCAGCAACGTTCCCTACTGTGATCGCCAACCGGTATTTAGGTACTGGTGGGTTTTGTTTTTCTTTTTCCCTTACGTAATCGCTGGTAGCCTAAGAAGCCATTCCAGCTACTCTCGGAGAACTGGTGGTATAGAGTATAGTAAAACCGCATGCAGCTCCATCCTATTTATATTTACAGAGAAGCAGTGATGCGTTTCGGTTTGAATTGTGTGCTTAGTGTGAGTTTTTTAACGTTCTCGATAGCGTAAAAGTAACTCAAATTTGTATGCAGTTGGAACAGCGCCCCTAGCGGCAAACGTAGGCAAACGTTCCAAATCTATATAAATTTGAATTAACTTTAACGTTATCGAGAACGTTAAAAAACTCGCACTAAGCGTACTGATTTAATACCTACAATTGAGATTTCGATCTCATGGTTCATGTTGGGTGGCAGTTTGTTTGGGGCTCACCGACTCTGAATTATTGAGGAAAGTTATCTCGATTCGAACAATGGATCTGGCTAGACCCAGGGTAATGATGGTCTTTAAAGTATAATATTGACACTGCAGTGCATCCGTAGCCGAAATAAGTAAGTCGGGCGCAAGAGTGTATCTGTTTTGGACCCCCGAGAAGCTGGGCAAGTTGACTATTGAAATTTAAAGGCCATACCATATCAACATATGAATTCCGGTACATAAGTTCAGGACTGCTCTAGCCCAAAGCAAATTTGACCTCAAATAGTAGGTAGGTACTTCATGAACGAACAATAAACTAATACGCAATTCAATAGACCGTTGGAGGCACCCCTGACATTTGTTTAGGTTCCTTAAATTACGTTTTGTTTTAGTAATATTCTTGTTACGATAGCCGAATTGGCATTTGCATAATTTATGTACTTAGTATCTATTTTTTGGGAGCAACAGAAAGCGCTGGAAAGTCGTTTTAACCTCTGGACGTTTATTTTTGTGCCTATAACTTCTTACTAGAGTGGGTACTTTAATTTTAATGCCTTTTTAAGCAACTGAACACGTGGCCGACATTTGGTCCCCAATAAGAGCACCTAACAATTTGTTAATATTGTATTGTTATATAAATTACTTTAACTAATATAATATAATATTTGACCCAGGAATCGGAAAAAAGGTTAGAAATAAAACGACATTTTTTTTTGCTCTATTTGTATATTTATTGTATTCAATCCGACAATGTGATGATAACAAACTTAAATAGGTAATAATAAATTGAGACAGTTAGATACACAATAATAATTTAAATAATCGATCGTCAATGAAACAATCGCTATTACGGATATTGTAAATTATTATAGAACATCAACTAATCATATTGAAACACCAATCGTAAGAAGTTGTACTTGACAAAACACTGCTATCAAACATTTATCTCACGTTATAGAATTTAATAATTACGGTATTACATTAACATTTAGTCGATTATTAGTTTAAAATTAACATCAATAACGTCAACTACAGCCATACATTGATACACAGCAGTAAATATAAGTATTAATGAAAAAAATGTTCCATCATACACATGCAGCTTGCTTACATTACTGCAACTAAACATAATTTACCAACTATTATACATAACAAAATGTTTAATCAGGAACACAATGTGATATATTAATAAAGAAAAAGGATAATCTTAAGCAACAGTAACTCAGTAAGGGATTCCGTCCGCACGCGTGACAACGCCGCGTCCCGACAACACAAGCGCGCGCACGATGTACGACTCATTATCTTGAACTAACATTTATTTTATACATTAAATTAAATCTAACATTAATGAATAAGTAGACTGTAATCTGAATTTGTTTTTGTGACCCCTATAACATATGTACCGTGAGATTGCAATACAAGATCTCTTAATATCTCAGTGTTCCGCCAAAAACTTAAAATTTATAATACTGAAACACAAAATCATGAGCTACATAATCTGTTGAAATGTTGATATGAGTCTTGTTTAATACGAACTGCTCACGACATTTAAAAGGGAGAAATATTATAATGTTGTCGCCAAAATGCTTAGTGACATTGTAGTCACAGGGGCGACATAAACAATACAGCCTATTCTGAATCTAAACATTTTATTACAGCTAATCTTTGATCTAAACACACATTAAGATTGACATCTAGAAACATTGAAGTGATATTCATATTATATTATATTTAGTTACATTTACGATTGTTAAAGGAAAGTTCACTATAGATTCACAATAGGCTTTGGTGGATAAAACATTCATGTCAAATGCAATATTTTCCTGAGAGCCGAAAGCAATGGTAATACTTACATTACAATACCTTAGGATACCCACCAACATTACTACATAACTAAACAGTCATCAAGTTCACAAGATCGTATTATAATATAACTTTTTGGTAATAACATTTAGACTACGCGGGCAGGTTTGATACATTAAAATATTTTGAGCCCGTCACGGCGTATAATTAATTAAACTAAACAAAAAATATAAATATTATAAAATGAATATTTACTAGGAAATACAAAAAAAATATAATCACGTAAAACAAACATTAGATCATTATTTTTTAAAATACATTTATCACATACAGTATAAGGAAATGAGAATATTTTTGTCATGTGGATAAAACACACAGTGTGAATCGCCAGTAATCATACGTAATAAAATTAACTTTCTAAAAAAATATAATTGTATTTAATATTAATTATTACAGACCAAAACCGCCTCTTTAGGTATGCAGTAATACTATCGTATTATAATCATTTATCGCGAAATAAATGTCAGCTAATACATTCATAAATAAATTACAACTACAAAATCCACATTGCGATACGAAATATATGAACTGACCGTAAACACAGTTCTTCGAATGGCACTTTGCTATGTCTGTATTCCAATGGATTTTAGTAATTAACTTTGAAATAAATAAACAATATGAAAATACATTTTTGACGCCGAATATCTCAACAAATACTTGCCTCTCAGGGTATTACCACATCGGCCGAATACATATTTAAATATATATTAATTTATATATTTTTCTATATAATAGTCATATGTATTTAATTTTCATATAATAATTTTGAATTTTAAATATCCTAACTCTTAGTCAAGCACGTTTTAAGCGGACTAGTGGCAGCAGCTCGACGCCTTATTTTGTTTACGCTGGCATAGTGTTTAGCGCCACGCGCCACCACCCGTCATGTCACGTCACGTTGCGTCGCGGCATATCGCGACACGCCACGCCACGCACCGTCTGCTGCCACTGCTCGCCTTCTGCCTACCTTCGCCGCACATATCCCAACACTTACTGTGGTCAAAAATTTTGGAAGGCACTTTCTACTTTTCAAAAATTTTAAATTTTAATTTTCCTTTTTGAACACATTAGCCTAGACTTATACAATAGAAAATATGCGTAGTAACATTTACCAATAATTACGCAATTCATCCGAAACGTATAGGCCATATAATATTTTCAATAATTTAGGAATTCATCTTCACATTTCAAAACGCGTAGCCAAATACATTCAGTGCTTGTTCTTGACCTGAATTGCGGTTAATTTAATTTTCAATTAATTCTTTTTTAAATAATTTGGTCTTTTTTATACACTAGTTCCAAACTTTAACCGAATCAAGTAATGCGAATACCAAAATAATAATGAAGTATCAAGGCCACTTGGAGACTTATTATAAACATGCTAGTACATGCGTATGCGACGAGACTTACCCGGGAGCCAACGAATCGACACCCTCCCCACAACACAATATATTAAATATTAAAATGCCAACGATCTTTGCCAACAATATCTAGATGGTATACCCTTGCGGCAAGAATGTATATTTATTTTTCACCGAAACATTTAAAACAATCTTAGAATCGGGGAAGATATTCATAAAACAAATTTGTACATAATAATGAATAGTTCCAATTACGCCCTGCGACGGTGCGGACCGCCGCCACTACACACAGCAACACAGCTAATCTAATTAGATTGAAATGTTAAACCTATCTACGCTTAGGTATTAGACCAAAACGCCTGAATGACGTTACATTCAGTTTTGGCGATTAAGGTGCTTCTAAAACTAACGCGGAGCAGACACGACTATAATGCTGATTATTTAATTAAAATATCATATTTTAACGTTTACGGACAAACACATCGAAAGCATTACGTTTAATATTCCTAAAACGCTGCGACACATGTGTGCCATTTATATAATATGTGTCCAATGTAATTATTCAAAATACTATTATAATTTATATGATTTGAAAATAAACGCTGACGGAGACGACAGTGCACTTTATCAGACTAACTATTTGAAACTGTATATAGCTCTCTTGAAGATCGAGACATATTGATATTTTAATGAAAAGCGAAGCTCCGCGATATCTTTGTATTTAGGCTAACATTTGGAACGAACGCTATTGGCTAAGGATACAACTATACATTTGGCGATCAGTAAGCCCACTCGAATGTATTGCCAGAGGCGACTACAGCCGGAGCCGGACTTGTGGACTGAGTTAGCGCTGTCGGAGTAAGCCACCGTGCCGATTGCACATCGTATCGATAATACTAAAAACTGGCGAGCGATCACATCGACCCCTACAATTAAGACATCGCAACGACCGGGAAGTGTACGCGGATTATAATACTACGGTGATTGTTCTATCAGATGCATATCGAAATATACGACACGATTATTGAATCGATAACGGAGCGCTAACATCGATACCACTAAGATCAAGCAGAGTACATTCATTACCGCTAAAGACAAACGGATATTCGTTTGAAGAAAGAAACAATTACACATCAATTTACACACATCTAAAGTTAATTTAATATTAAATTCTTACACACGTACACGTAAGGGGGATCTCTTTGAAACTTTAGGTATACCAAACAGTCTTTTGGAATCGGGCCGAATAATATAATTTTGACATATCTACACATTCACAGATGATTCTATATTTGTAACATTTATAATTTAATCTTAAAACATTAAACGCTACATATTACACGAATAGAAATATATTATGTATGCACGTGTATGTATGTGTGCTTCTACACATTTAGGTCATCACGTATACCAACACACTACAGAGTGAATAGTCGCTTAACAATAGCCACTGGAAAATATGTTATCCACCTCGGACACTGGAACTAAACTCGAATTTATCGTAATAAACTTTAAAATAAATAAATTTGTAATAAGAATAACAAATACAGCTATTCACTCCGTACAATAAAAAAAATCATATTTAATTACTGCGATACTAATGAGACTCGCTTTATTGTACAAGTACTCAAAACGATTTAAAGAAATAAAAACAAGCATATTGCACGTCTGAATAATGCTTAATCGAAATAAAACGTAAAAAATTAAATTGTAAACATAATTTTAATTAATTGCATTCCGGGATTCCGAGCTGTTCGAATCCCTCGCGTCCCAGATCAGCGCCACCTGTGGCCGGAATGTTGCTTCACATACAATCACATCAATTCACGTCATGTCCGAAATAATTAAATTGCTGGCGGCATCTCAACAAACACACACCGATAAATAAAACTAAACATTAAAGACTACTACACAGCGAATATAGTATACCAAGTGTATGTATCTCTGAATAAGCAGCTTGTCATATTTTGCCGTCAGCAACTTTTTTCGTTTTTCACAAGAAGCTCAATGTTTATTTTTTGATAAACACAATGTCTTTATAATTCTCTCGTTTGAGATGGCGTCCGCAAGTTTGTGTTCTTTCTATTAGGTTCATATTAAACGCACACATATAATTTGAAGAAGGTTTCGTGGGAATTCTTGGGTGTTCATTATGAGCTCCCTGCGAAAAAATTTCAAACGACCGCGTGCAACTATTTTATGATTATTTATTTGATCGAAGCTTTTCAAGTTTCTCAGAGCTAAAATTATTTGAACGCGGTCGATAGAAATCGTTCCACGTTTAGTAGTAACGCACGGAGTGAGTGTTCGGGACGAAGTAGCGGTAAGCGGGCGGCGGCGGCGGCGGCGGCAGCGTCTGTGGAGCCGGCGCGCCCGCAGCCTCGCTTCATATCATGTCGGAACGGTCATCGGAGCCATCCAGCTCCATAGCACCGGCGGCCTGTCCGTTCCGAGTCGGCACCGGTGTCTTTGGCGGTCCCATATCGGTCATTTCCGGGATAATGTCGCGTTCTGCATAGCGACTTTCAGGTCGGGGCGATATGAACGGGCGGAATGGATCGGCGGGCTTCGCGGCCTCGAGCGTCTGGCTCGGGGAGCACATTGGTGATTCCAGGCTCGCGGAGAGCGGTGACGGCAGCCGCGGTGAGTGCATTGGCAGCGGAGGCAGGCCGAGTGGCGGCTGGTCCTGTGGGCGCTGCGCCGCCACCACCATGTTGCACATCTGACGGCGCAGCCCATGGGCCACGGCGGCTACGGCGGCGGCGGCGGCAACATTTGGAGACACGCGCTCTTCGCGTCCATTGCCGACCCCCACCGCGGTATATGCAGCCGGTGTCGGTGATCCATCCTGCAACAAAAAATCGAGCGCGTGAAATCGCTCCCGATCAACATTAGAACATTCAGCGGACAACGGACCCGGTCGTTTTATAACTCGGCACTGTAACTGGTACACACAGTACAGTTTCAAATATTTGCAAGCCGTGTTGTAAAACGCTCGTCGTCTGTTGTTAGCGTGAACGGCTTCTGATCTAAAATTGCCCGCGACACGTATTGTTCGTATGTTAACGTGCAGTCGTAAAGTTCGAGACATTAAAATACCACAAAATAATAGCGAACCCGCCGAGCCGATTAAATACAAATATAGAACTTCGCAACAGCACATTCGCAATACAGCAGGAAGAAAGAGACGTAACGAAGGCCACGATAAAACATAAATTGGTTCCATTTGAATCGCGACTCGAATGGAACGCACATCAAAACTGCCACACGAAGTACTCTTTTTAGAAGGATTCTTGCATCGACGTCGAAATTTTGTAGCACGTAGTTCAAGTGTATATGTTACAAGTCAATTCAAAGAAGCTACGAAGCGTCTCCACGTCGATGCGATGTTTCATGAGTTAGGGATCAGTACACACTGCACAGGACGAGTTCGGCGCTCCTAGAGCAATGCGCCGAGCGGTCGCGTGCAATGCTGGAAACGGGACACTGGGAGGTGGTGTGCTGCGTCAATACTAACCGTGATGGCAGGGTACGTCGGCAGCTCTAGTTCGCGGAGATGATGAGGATTAGCGTGCGGTGCCTGCGTGTCGCGGAATACGACCGCGCGGATAACTCCACGGATATGTTCGTCGGGCCAGACGCCCAGCAGAATCCTTTGTGGGCGACCGCGTCCTTTTGGTCGCAGATCTGGAATACCCCACAATAATCAAATGTGAACACAAAAAAGCATTCGGAGCCAAGATTGCTTATTGCGAGAAAATTACACGATACAAAGATACCCCGAGTAAAATGTGTGTGTTAGAAGATTGATTTAATTCATAACAAAGGTTATCAGGAGTTCATTGAACGAAAAAAATAGTGCTCTAAATACATTTAATTGATAATTCATTGAGCGTGTCTTTAAAATGCTTAAAATTTAAATGTAATTATGGAAACACTATGTCATAAATTTGTCTTGAAGTTTCGCTCGACTTGACTTTATATCGTGTACATTCCCCTGAATAACATTATTATAATAAATTCATATTCTAGAAACACTTAAAACTGAAATACATATTCATGAAGTTTCATAGTATAATCGCATGTTACAGGAAATTCTTAAGTCTAGCAATCGCATTGCAGATAAGTCGCGGTGCTAATGCATACTTAATATTTTACGCCCGCACGTAATTACGACTAATTGAAATAATTTACGTTAGTTTGTTTTTAATTTTGTTGAAACCCGTTTTACTGGTCAAGTTCTGTAAGTTAATCAAGTTGAACCAAAGTGCCGGTCCATTATAATATAGTTATAACCAGTAATACGGCTTCACGAAAGTCGTTTATTCGTAGTTGGATGGGAATTATCTTTTGAATGTGTTGAAATAGCACGCGATTGTTAAGCGCGTGTTTATTCAGCACACTAATATGTATAATTTGGGATCATACTGTTCATACCTGCTCCACCATCGGCGCTGGGTCCGAGCATGTTATGGACGCGGTTGGCATACAGCACGAACGTCGGGTACGGGATGTCGTACTTCCTAGCCGCTTGGGAGAGAGACAAGCCCTCCTTCAGCACAGAGAAAATGGCCTCAGCCATAGTTTCTGGCCGCCAGGACTTGAGAGGACCGCGTTCGCGGAAACGCAGGTTGTGTACCAAGTTCTGGTTGGTGTTCCAGCATTTTTGCCACATCGACTGCAGCTGGTATTGGTAGCTGTCTGAAAATCGAAATTAATTTATGTTAGTCAAATACAAAAAAAATGGTTTAGCTCTTTTCCTTTGGGTTTTGTGGCATTTCTGATATAATACGTCATTATTTTTGTACAGTGACAAAAACAGTTTTCGAGATAACAAGATAGTCTTGGTAGTGTTGGTAATGGTAGTGGTGATATTATAACATTAACAGAATTGCGATTAAGAATATTAAAGTCGTTTTCTGACTTAACGTTAAAGAGCCACGGGATCGAACATTGTTCATGTATCAATTTGAAGAAAGATTTTAATTTATAATAACTACCTGCACAGAAATGAGGTTGATGAAGGTGTTTTTTTTTTTTCAATTTATATCTCACCTCTGAGATATGTCAATTCTGTTCAGTTTTTAAATTTTGATAATTAATTTTGACCCTTACGCCAATATTTCCACTTCTCTCCCTTAATACCAGTCTCCTCGAGACATATGATAGTACACGGGCATGATGAAGGCCACGTTATTCTAAAATTTGAATCTAAATACATTATTTCCATATGGACTAAGCCACGATTGTTCAAGATACCTTCACTGAGAATTTGAAAGTGCACAAACATTTTGAATACCTACTCAATAAACAATTAGTTTTAATAATTGTGAATTCTTGACTTCTTCAACTCGATTAAATATATTAAATGTGTATAAAGTTATTGAGTATTTTTCAAATAATTATTTTGATTTACGATCCATAAAGAATGTTTTGTACGATACGTAACTATTATTATTGATTAGCAAAGTAAGAGAAAGATTGCATAAAAAAGTGACGTCTGCAACTGAAGAAGATAGAAGATAGGAGATCAGTGGTTCTTGTGCTGGAAAAGAAAATATGGCTGTTTCCAAAGACTTGGGTAAATAGATAGTGAGAGAGAATCTAAAGAAATAAATAAGGAAATAAATGGATCGTGTGGAAGATGACGTGAGTTAAATTAAAAGTTCTATCTGTTTGAAGAATGTTGCAAGGAAATATAATCGTAAAATTATATGAAAGCAGTTCATACTAAAAGTGAAATTCAAGAAAAGAAAAATAAACTAGAGATGTGTCACAATTGGGAGACGAGATACAATTAAGGAAATACACACTACTGTAAAAGGAATTTAAATAAATAATTAATTAAAATATTTATAATATGAAATTTAATTGTAAAGTCATTAGTTTTTGAATGCTGGTAGAATTATATCCATCACCAAGATAAACCATCATGATATCAAAGACGCCAAAAATAATATTAGATGCATCGTTACGACAAGATGAAGCATGTATAGGATGATTATACGGGAAAGAAATTGAAACGAGAAAAGAACAGTATTATACTAATGATGTTGTATTCAAACGTATGCAAATGGGTAGGTTTTCTTAAGTATTATCAAAATTTAATCACATAAATAATATTCACGAAAAGAAAACACAAGCATGAAAATGAAGACAATGAAATTACATACCGACCTCTAGTGCACCTGTATTACGAAAAAGAAAACATTAAATTATTTATTATAAGGGAAAAATAAAACGGGAGACATTCAATGGCAACTATTTATTACAAAAAATAAACCTTTCAAAATTTTCGAAATAGTTTCCAAAAATACTAAAGTACTTAAAATTAAAACTCAAGTATATTAAATATGGACTACATTCTATTACCTACTGACTTCAGAGCTTAAGAGTCAGAGCAATGAAGCCTGTGATATGCACGTCTTTAACAATATGTTAATATATAAGTAGAAGGAAAGCCAAACATAATTATGTACATCTTATTTAAGCAGTATTCTTATAATAATAGGTTTGAACATAAGACTAAGTGGTTTGTTATAATTTTAAAATACCATGATTTTTTACGCGCCTTGTTCTATTGCAAAAATAATATATTTATGAATCTCTCTATAAGATCTTTTAAATTAAGATATGGTACGAGATAGTAGTATGACTTAGAAGTTACAGTCTATGTTGATTTACATTCACAAGCGCCTTTTAATTATCAGTGTTCTTGTAATGCAGTGCCAATAATCGAATATGAAAGATTCTTAAATTTTATATTGAATGAATGACCAGTGACAATAGAAGCGCTCGCTCTCCTTAATGACTAGTATAGTGTTTTTAATTTGTACACTGATGTACATGTGTATACTATAGACTTTGGTCTATGGCAGTGGTCGGGAACGCACGGCTCGCACCGGCTTTTTGACTCCTCAACTACAGCCCTTCCGCGAAATCTTTAGTTCAGCCACGGAATATTACTTATTATCATGCCTTGTAAGAGACGAGTAAACAATTTTTAAAATACAAGGTTATAAAAATTTATGTTAAAAAAATGACTGAATAAATTTTAATTGGGTAATATGTATATGTGGCTCTTTTGGTTGACAAGGTTGCCGACCATTGGTCTATACTTCTGTCGATGCGATGTCAATAGTCCCAACTCTCATTATTGCACAGAACGCCGAGGCAAGCGGCTGTCACCTTGTCAATAAGATTAAGTAAACTAGTGTGTTTATTTGCTTTACTTAGTCTTGAAACCTGTAATTTGCTCCAGTACTTGTGAAAAATATCTATGAGAGACAAATAATAAACGGGCGGTTAGTTCGGATACGAAATCACAATAAGCTATAATTATAACCCAATCAAAATACAAATTTAATTAGCTAACACAGATCCTTGGCCTTTAAGTCAGTTCATACCATCATATCGTGGATAGTACATGGCCCATCAACCGAAATTAATTTGTATCGCATTACGTGCAATGTAAAAGACAATGGTAAAAAGGAATGTTGTGTTTTTTTATGTTTTTTAGGAATCAGAATATAAATGACTATTTAGTTTTCGCTATTACTTCCAATAGGGGTGTTTGTAGGTTGAACAATAATAAAATAAACAACGTTTATAATATGTAGAAATTAAATCCCAACTTAATTGAACAAAACGTCCAATTAAATTAAATATATTCTCTTATGCTGGCACGACATTTTGCGTATTTTTACGAATAGTCGTGCGATTTCTTTGAAATAAATTCCAGCTTTATGCCCGCAAGGTTGGGTTGATTTTGTTTCGACAAAGTATCACTAGTGCTTGTTTAAATGAATCAAGTCAAGTGTATTTCTGCAGACCGTTGTCTATTGTGTGGCAAAAACAAAAAAAATGTGGGAATTCCGTTCCGTTACACGCTTAATAATTTATATCAAAGATAAAACGTGTTTCAATGAGATTGGTTGCATGTCGCTTGTAAAAAAACTGTTACGGGTCTCAAGGGAGGGGTCGTTTCGTATTATTTTGTTTTGAAAATCTAGATTTTTACAAATCAGCGTATATTTTGTTATCACTAAACAAAAAATTAGATCAGCCCTTCGTCGATTAATTTTCCAAAACTCATTTTATTACACATACCTATTCTTTCTAAGTTATTTTTTTCTCATCATAAATTTCTATATAAAGTTACTTTGTATAAATTTATACTATTATTTAATGAGAATAACAATTTTTCATTAGAATTTAATTGAGTTAATGATCTTAATTGTTCTTAATTAGTTATAAATTATTGCTATTCAGAGAATTTACTGGAGAAAAATAAAGTCGGGTGGTGTAATGTTAATAAATCAAAGTTAAAAGAAGTAGATAAACATCGAAGTACAAAATTAATTGAGTCGACATCATCGTACAATTTAGACCTAAGACCTATCCACGAAGAATACCCGCAATTGAAATTGAAAAATACCGAGTTATTAAAATTAATAATGTAAATAAATTGGAAGTAAAATAAAATGTGAAACCATATTGCAGAAGTATCAAGGCTAGAGAAGTATTTCAGCATAGTGTAATTTATTCGCAGTGCCTAGATGACACGACCGCTAGTTTAGAGGCTCTGTGCATTAATGAGATACAGCATCGACTATACCATAGACAAAAGTCTCTTTCACAGACTATACATCAATATACAGATAATACAGATTACCGACAGTACACTAGATATTGGAGAGAGCAGGCTGTTCTCAAACTACTCGATCTTGTTCATTAATTTAATATATTTATGATACATTCTATTCTACTATAATTAGCATTATGATTGGCTTACAGGAACCATAAAAATGTATTTAATCTTTCACCAAAGGTTATCAATAGCATGTTTTCTCAGAATTGTGTAAAAAAACCAACGTAAAAATGTCTAGAAATGTATTTTTGTTCATTATAATTACTGTCCTCGTTCCAATATCAAATTTAAGTATAACAGCAGATGTACATTTATAATGAAAATTGTTTATTAAGAATCGATAAAAATTTACTTAAACATACATTTGAACACTCGTTCGTGCTCTTATTTGAGTTTTTTAAATTCCATACAACAATATAATTGCACTCTGTTGTTCTCTTTGTAAAATATTTTAATTGAATTAAGCGTTGGCACGCAGTAGTGTTAATTATGGATAGTTTTTTCGCCAAGGTTTTATAGATATTTATTTATAGAGAAATAAAAAATTAAAATGAAACTGAAACGAAACAAATGAATGTAAACTACTTTACGAAAACTATTTCACGTTTTCACTTCTTATTATTCGTAATATTATTTTCCGAAATCCCATCTACCAGCTGAGGTTTGAGTAAAACACTCGAGACAAAAAAAAACCAGTATGTGTTTAAACTGAAAAGTTTTATAGTATTCAACAAAGAGGTTTCGCAGAACAAAATGCTGACACTTTTTACAATAATTTCTTCAGAAATGTCAACGTCAACTGTTATGGGTTTTTATGTTTGTAGTTTTTTTTATAGTTAAATACAAGAAAATAAAATGCAATTTGTATAGTTTTTATCTAGAACTTTTCCAAAAAATAGTTTACTAAGTAGCATTAGGTAGATAAGTACGTAAGTAATCAATAAAAGTTTCAAGGCACTGATTACAACATTGTTCTAATAACATTAAATTTCTTTGGTTTTTTTTTTTTGTATTTTTCATATATCTTAAGAACGAGCCTTCTAATATTTTCATTTAATTTTCAACAATAAAAATGTGATACGATTTTGTGATGATTGTCATAATTATGTGAGTCGTAAGCTTTTTTTGTATCGAACATGTGATGTTGTATGTGATGTTATAATCTTAGTCTATTATGCAATTTTTATTTTTTTGTGTTACTTTATTGATCTCATTGGTTTATTTACCATTCAAAGTATATCACCTTTTTTTTTTAAATCTGTACGAAGGTATGTTTTTCCTACCTACCTCTCTTACTCAGAGTTCTTATAGCAAATTTAGATTACGTATCGAATGAGTGATTAGTAGAAGAAATATATTACAAAGGTGTATAAAATATTGTACTGTTGATATGTTACATTACTTTTTAATTTAGTTTTATGACTTAAATTAAGAACAAATGAACTAATTGTACATTTTTCTTCCTTAAAACTATAACATTTTAAAGGCACATTATAAGACAGTACGTACATTCTATTCGTGATCTATGAACTAGTATTACGAGAAAACTTTGCAACTTTTGTTTTTCGAATTAAAAAAGAACATTGTATTTTTTTTAATACGCTTTCATTAGCTTCAGACTTATATGTATGTCTGTAACGGAATCTTTGAAAATGATTTTGTCCCCCTTCAAAACGTTTGATTAATTCGAAATTTGATATACTTATTTTAATTTTTTTTTATTGCTTAGATGGAAGCACGAGCTTACAGCCCATCGGATGTTAAGTGGTTACTAGAGCCCATAGACATCTACAACGTAAATGCGCTAACCACCTTGAGATATAAGTTCCAAGGTCTCAGTATAATTACAACGGCTTCAAACCGAAACGCATTACTGCTTCACGACAGAAATAGGCGGGGTGGTGATATCTACCCGTACGGACTCACAAGAGGTCCTACCACCAGTAGTAAAAGAGAAAGAAAGAAGGAAGAAATAAAGAATTAAAGTGAAAGAAAGAAGAAAGAAATAAAGAATTAAAGAGAAAGTAAGAAGAAAGAAATAAAGAATTAAAGAGAAAGAAAGAAGGAAGAAATAAAGAATTAAAGTGAAAGAAAGAAGAAAGAAATAAAGAATTAAAGAGAAAGTAAGAAGAAAGAAATAAAGAATTAAAGAGAAAGAAAGAAGAAAGAAATAAAGAATTAAAGAGAAAGTAAGAAGAAAGAAATAAAGAATTAAAGAGAAAGAAAGAAGAAAGAAATAAAGAATTAAAGAGAAAGTAAGAAGAAAGAAATAAAGAATTAAAGAGAAAGTAAGAAGAAATAAATAAAGAATTAAAGAGAAAGAAAGAAGAGAGAAATAAAGAATTAAAGAGAAAGTAAGAAGAAAGAAATAAAGAATTAAAGAGAAAGAAAGAAGAAAGAAATATAGTAAATTCGGTAATAACTCTGGCTCATATTTCATTAATGGTTTTGTTATTTGATTATTACGACATTATAATAACGTAAAGGCAATAAAATCGACATAGCCGCTTTTTTTGCAAACGTCTATCTCAAGGCACTCTTTAAACGTCGAAGAACCCGTGGTGTAATTTTGAGAAGACGATGATAAGGTGGTGTGTGTACCCGTAATAATGAGATATGCCGATTTTCGACGCTCAGGATGTATCGATACCTCAAAATAATTGCGTAGTGCGTATTTCTAGGGAACAACATTATATAGGAAAATAAAACCGGTAATATCAATAATCTTGCCTAATTATCTGTGATAGGGTATGCTATAAGCACGGATCGTCGTATTTATCTTTGACGCAAAGTTGTCCTATGGCCAGTTTGAAGTAAATAAAAGTTATTTCGTATATCATATTGTGTAATATACTATGAAGACACGTTCTAAGGTGATGAGATCTTAAATGAAAAAGAAATCTATATACGAGTATATATTTGTAATTAAAGCCTCGCGTTTCCAAAGATGTTATCCGAATATTCTAGTTCTAATTGATGATGAAAATTATAATTCATTAAACATACGTGAATCAATCCATCGTCACAAACACTTGCAACGATTTTTTAAAGTATCTATATCGAATTTAGAACATTGTGATGATTTTATTTTACCAGAATTTCAAATTAAAGAAGTTGTTATAATTTAGATATGAAATATTTAAAGCTTCTGTACGCGTGTTTGTTACTAAACTCTTAATAAATTGGCTGGACCGATTCTGTTGTATTTGAGTGGGTGTATCTGGATGGTCGAAATTTGCAACCATATCCTGTGGATGGTAGCGCTAAGATCTAGATTGTTTATGGCTACGTCTGTCGGGCCCGCTTTAGTTTCATAGATTACTAACGCGGCCATTTGAAGATAAATTTTCATTAAACGATTTATCTTCAAAAGTATAATATAACCGTTTTCGAATCCGTATTTCAGATCATTCTGAGAGATATAACAGAATCAACAAATAATGGCAGGCTGCCGTTTTTTTTTTCAAGAACTAAATCTGAATTAGCAGATGAAACTAGTTAAAAGTTGTCAATTCTAATTTAGATATGTAAAAGTTACCAAACACGGAAAACTGTATAAAACTAAAAAAAACGAATAGAAAAGATGCTAATGTATAATAAAGGTTTCGTATTGAATTAAATAATAAGATATTCCTATGCCTAATTTATCACATTAAGTAATCAAAATCAGTCTGTTCTCTTTTAACAAAAGCGTTAACAAAAAAAAAAATGTTTTTTTTTTAAACAAAGCTGTAATCACTTTCAGTGCAAGTACTGAGACTGCTTGGTTTTAGCAGAACTCATTTTAAAGAAATGAATAACTAAACTACATATTTAAATCTACATCTAGGAATGTCTTTTTATATCACAATCGCGTTCGCGTTACGATTTAATTTTCGCCAGACTATATTTAATTAGTACCTAACTGATCAATAGGCACAGGAGATCTTAAGATTCATCATCAATACTCAACTCGCATTTTATTTTCTTGTTCTTTGGCCCTCCGTCGTAATACAGAGACACAATGGAATGTTTCTTGCAGAAGGCCCACCACCACCTAAACCCAGTTAACCCTATGAACGCAAAATTAGGATCCCTCGTTCTACGTAACTTTTCAACGAACGCCAGAATTTCCGCTAGGGATTTCTTTGTTCGTCTATTGTAAGGAGAAACGCTTGTCTCACAGCAAAAGTCTAAGATGGCCCTTTCCTCGTTAGCTAAGAGACCGGCTTGGTCCAAAACCGCCATGCGTTTCGATTTCCCCAATATATTGTCGTATAATGTGCCTTTAGGTATGCAGTAATGTGTAGCGGCCTGCGTAAATCTCATACGCTGAGTGATGACCGCTTGGATGGCTTCTTGGAGTTGGCTCTGGGTCCAGGTGGGCGCCTTCAGCTTGAGCGAATGTCCGTGATAGTCTAGTGAAGAAAGTGAAGCCACAAAAAGAAACATTATGCAGACTGCTCGTAATCCTTGCCACCTTATCCAAATTCCTAATGTTTTTTCTAACAGATACTATGATGCCTGTTATTATTTTTATTACTAAAGAACTTATACAATTTGTCATAAGGTGTGGCCAGAATTACGAATGTCATTTGAAACAAAATGCAAATGAACCGATAAACATGCTACAAGATATTGATTTTGAAATTCGTATTAAGCGTGCCGTTTTAAATGTAAAATAAAACCAAACAAAATTATTTACGCAATTCCGACGTTTTAAACGAATTAATGATTTAAGTCAAAAAAAAATTTTTTTTTAAGGATAATAATGTATATAATCCTCCTAATATTGTTTTCTCCATACCAAAGTTGTGATAAGTGTGAAGCTCTTCGTTTGTGATGTGAAATCGCGTAAATTATCGATGATCAAATTTTAAAAACTTATTTTGTTTTTAAAGCAAACTACTATTAATTATAAACGATTTCGGTACCAACCTGCCAAAGCCGAAGTGGATGGTCCAAGCCAAGCGTGAGAGTTCTCAATGAGGCGAGCCTGTAACAATAAATAAAAAAATAAGAACCTTTTCTATTAATAACGTACATACATTAAAATCGTCGTGGCCTAAGGGATAAAGTCGTCGTGGCTTAAGGGATAAGTGAGCGATGCACCTGTGTTCGAATCCAAGGCTCCAGTAACCACTTAACACCAAATGGGCTGTGAGCTCGTCCACCTAAATAAGCAATAAAAAAAATTGTCGTTTCAAGAAGTTTTTAAATAGAGTAAATGGACCATCTCGCACAGCCTGCACGGAGTCTAGTTCTTGGATCCGGTAGACTTTACAATGTGTGTACTATCGACTTGAAATATGTGGTGGAAGCATCGATAGTATTATATATCCAACAAACGAGAATGCATGAAAACGAATTGCAGTAAAATAAGGTGCATCATTTATTTTAAGGGATATCATGACATAAAATAAATTATTGTATTTTACATAATAAACAAAGTATTTGTAGGCGTTTTTTGGAGTAGTTAATTTTTAATATTGAAGAATATCAAAATATGTTAAATCATAAAGTCGGACAATGTGGACTTGCTGATAAACTAATAAATTCTGAATTCTAAATTCGTGGCCATGTTTGTTGGACTCTGACGTACGTCCGGTAAATAAAAAGAAAATTTACGCTTCGTGACGTCGGATCAATAATAATAAAGGTCAGATGAAAAAGAACAATCGAACGGTTTTAAAATTTACAATTTCCCCCGATATCGAACAGGAAGTTTACTAATTGCACATTTTATCGTCCGGCGTCGTATCGGAGCCGGGTCGGCGTCGTCGCGATGCGTACGCGTCCGTTTATTTACGTACGTCCCAGTAATTGTACGAGCAAAGAGCGGCATTTCTTTGTGCCCGACGTTACAACTAAACATTATACAAGTTTTAATTGTGAACGCAGACAAAAGCCGGCCATTTTACGGCCGTAATAACGGAACGCAGTTCAATCTACAAATAAAAGTTTTTATTAAGTTAAGAGAAGCGACTCCGGGCCCTCCGCTAGTGGTGTTTACGAAACGCGCACGTGCCCTAAGTACCGCTGCGAACGGCCGATGTATTGTTTGTTTACCCGAATAAAACACTAAAATCCAATTCAATAACAAAGAATTAAAGATCCCGAAATAAAATTTATTGCTTTAGTACGATAAAATAGATTTATGTAGGCGCGAGCCGACTCGCTCTGGACTCTCGTTCCTACCGATTTATTAATACGGTCAACTATATTACAATCACTTAAATTCGTTCAACTTTATTTCATCTATTTGACTCAGAATAGTTGTTGATCACCATAAATAAAGAATCTAAAATGAACACACGAAAAGCGCTATAATGGTAAAGACGTACGTCGTTTTCGCATTACTTTTGTGGATCATATCGATTCTCACTTAAATTCGACCTCGAAAATGCGATTAATAAAGCGATTACAATATGATGACGTGTCCAGTTTTACAGGGAAACTTTGCGATACGTTTTCACGGTATGCACTTATATTACTAACGTCTAAATACTCGCGCAAGGTTGCTACAGCTGCAAGCAATTAAAATCTTAACATTAATTCACTTATTTTATATACATTTGACATAATTGAAATACATTATTTTTACGATTCACGGAAGAACAACACATCAATCAACTTGTATGTTTTTCTACGATATATATTATATACATTTTAGGTTTATCACGTATTATTTTTAAGTGATCAGGGGTTCTCATATTTTTGTTGGCTTACATAGACGTTCATAGGGTGCACTTGGCGTTAAGTCGTCACTGAAGCATATGAAGTTTACCAAGTAAATACTGCCGCGGTTTGTCCGATCGCTTATACCGGACCCGCGACTGATTCGTGGCAGAAATACGACAGGATAGTATTGCCAATTTGTGTAGGCTCACCCAGGTTCACCCAGGGCCGGATTTAGACTTAATGCCGCTCCTGGGCACCGGAAAAAAATCCACCCCAATACTGGAATTTTACTTATACTTATAGTTAATATATTTTATTTTTCACAATTAAAATAACTAATTTATTGCAGAAACTTTATCATATGTCTTAAATTCCAAAAAAATAAATAAATATTTGTTTTTTTCTCTAATAATTATAAATTTTGCACTAAGGGTGATTCATTATATTATATAAAAAAAGCTTATTAAATTTCTTTAATTTCAGAAAATGGAAATATCGATTATTATTTTAAATGTCCAAGAAAATAAATAAATTAAATCATTTTGATTATTAATTTTTACCAAAAGTGCCAAAATTATAATTAACAAATAATGGATGAATTGAATTTGTTGAATTATCATTAAACAGAAAATTATTAATTAATAAAAATAATAGTAATATTGACAGGGCTAAACAAATTGTTTACTTAAAAAATTCTGCCGCCCTAAAAAATTTGCCGCCCTGGGCACTTGCCCCGACTGCCCCTAGTGTCAATCCACCACTGGGCTCACCCTTAGTAATAATAATGCCTAAGAAAAAAGTTACCATCTCATATCGTTCCCACTAATTGTACGCAGACTGACAGCCCTGTTCCGATCGCCCCTTACTAAACACCCGTTACTAAAAGGAAACTGTGTTTGTCTGTGTTTGAATATGATTGGCCAATCGCGGAACGTTCGTTTTGCATTATTATTTGATATCCGGATGTTATCAAATACTAGCTTGCACTTAAAATAGCCTTCTGACTAACAGCTGCCGAACTTTGCGATTTTAATTACGGATCGTAATTATTGATACATTGCGCTGTTTTATTCATAAACAGATGTTAAATTACTGACGTTTTCCTTCTTCCTTTAAAAGTAGTTAAATAGAAAACTTTCGTTTTTTTAAAAGTTTTCGAAAATCAAATACATTTTGATTGTATGTAGACTGTGTTTTGTTGTATCCGATTGTAAATTGTAAATGTACGATATTTTTCTTTTTATAATTTGAATTTTAAAATTCGAATTTTCATAGATTTGTGTTATTTTTATCTTGTTTGCCACTAAACGCTGGGTCAAACTAAGTTGGTTGGTTGGTGATATTAAAAAAAAAACATTTCAAATTATATTTAAATTAACTATTTCCAATCGAACAGTAAAATTATGAATATTTCTCCAGCAGAGAACAAAGCTTTCTTGGCACTCCAATAATAAAGTGATTTCGTGATAAAGCCGTAATAAAAATGTGTCACGATGTTTCCATTGTAGGGATCTTCCATTTAATATTGTTTACGAGTATCATTTAGGTTATAAAGAGAATAATGGGCCCGTACTTTGTTTAGAATACTTATTTGTATTTATGTAGAATGGTGATCGAAATATATTATGACGCCCAAAGTCAACGTTGTCTGGAAACGTATTAAGTTAAGTAATTAAGTATCTATGGTTGATATCCTAGCGGAAAAATAATAGACAATACGTATTAGTCATCTGTTTACTGTTTAGTCGTTTTAAGACAATATTAGGTACTGATATTTTAATAACAATATATTTTATTTATATTATTATAAGTGCTCTAAACACTGAAAATAATAGATTCAAATAATAGAATTTACATTGTGAACAAGATACATACCTAATCGATTTGAAATAAGGAATTATTGTACTAATCTGTTAGTCGCTATTAGATTGATTTATTGTACTAATCTATAGTGCTTTCAGTATTTAGTATTATAAACGACAAATCATGATACTTTGTTAATTGTATTATCGAGGTCGAATTTAAATGACAATCAATACTGACCACGAAAGCAAAGCGATGCATTTTGTCTTTACCGTTATATTGTTATTTGTGGTTGTTTTCACTTTTAATTCAATAAAAACATCTCATATAATAAGTTGAAGTGGCGAAACGCTAATGCCCGGTCATATTATACGGTTGATTATTTACCTTATTCGAGCGTCGGTCGGCGGTGGCGCCCTCTAATCGAAGCTATCCAACGTATGAAACGAAATAATAAACTTCCGCGTTTGTACGCAATTACGAGCCGTGTGTGCTCGGGGACGGACTTGGGAGTTTATACGATGGAAGGATTAAATTCACACATGACAATTTACTGGAATACGAGCCGAGAATTATATGAGAATAATCATACCGGAAGACTTAGCGTGGTTAGGCCGCCCACAAGATGGAATGACGACCTATTTAGGTTCACGGGAGTCCGTTGAATGCAAGCCACGCAGGACCGATATTAGTGGCGAAGCTTGGGGGAGGCTTATGTTCAGTAGTGGACGTCTGTGGGCTGATAGAATAGAGAAAAAAATCTTAGTCCGGTATACGCGAACATTATGATTTTACCAATCGATTAATGATCGTCGAACATTTGAAGACTACAATCTTGTCTCTCTCTTTTTCTCTCTCTCTCTCTAACGTATGACGTAATCGTGTATTGTCTGTGGCGGTTGCGCGCGAGAGATTCAAACTGTGTAAATAAAGTCTTAATTTAATGTTAGAATGAAACAACGGTATCGCCAAGAAAAGCGTAGAAGCATGAAAAAACTAGTCTGAGATTTTTCAAAGACCTAGAAGAAAAAGGGTGGCGCTTTAGCTGCTAGTCTCGTTGTAAGAAAAGCCTTTGTTTTATTGAAATCGCGAAGTCCTTCTTCGAAGCTTCCCACAGGCTTTATCGATCAGTGAGGGACTGTTAAGACAGTTATGTGATATGCCATTTTTTTAAATGTCCAACTAACAAGATATAATGTAAAAATAATGTCACTACGTAACGTCAGGTGTGTGCTCATGTATTCTCTAGTATTTCAATTTATATATATTAGAAGAATAGATAGATATATTAGTAGAAGATTGGCAGCTACTGGTTTTCGGTTTGATAAGAGATACGATTTAAAAAAAAACATTATAATTTAAATCGTATCTCTCATCAAATCGAAAAGCAGTAGCTGCGAAACTTCTACGAAATCCCACCCTGTGTTCAAGCGAAATGCGTATAATCCTAGAGTACGTTCGGCTTGCAGCCATGAACTTGTGCAGCGAAAGAGTTATTATCCCTTGATTATG